TTTATTTTATTTTTTAATTGTGGTAAAATAACATATAACATAAAACTTACCATCTTAAACATTTTTAAGTGCTCAGTTCAGTAGTGTTAAGTATATTCACATTGTTGTGCATCCAATCTCCAGAACTTTTTTATTTTGCAAAACTGAAACTCTGTACCCATAAACAACTCCCATTTCTCCCTGTCTGTGGTCCCTGGTAGCTAACAATCTACTTTCTGTTTCTATGAGTTTGACAACTTTTATTACCTCATATAAATGGAATCATACAGTCTTTGTCTTTTTGTGACTTATCTCATTTAACATAATGTCCTTAAGGTTCATCTATGTTGTAGTATATGTCAGAATTTTCTTCCTTTTTAAGATTGAATAATATTCCTTTGCATCTATATACCATATTTTTATCTATTCATCCACTGATGAACATTTGCATTGCTTCCACATCTTGGCTATTGTGAGTAATGCTATGAATATGGTTGTATACATATCTCTTTAAGATCTCCTTTCAATTTTTTTGGATGTATACCCAGAAGTGGAATTGATGGATCATATAATAATTCTATTTTTAATTTTTTGAAGAACTGCCATACTATTTTTCATAGGGACTGCACCATTTTATGTTTCCACTGGCAGTGCACAGAGTTCCAGTTTGTCCACATCCTTACCAACACTTGCTATTTCCTGGGTTGGATTTTTTTTGACAATGGGTGTTCTAGTGGATGTGAGGTAATCAAGATATGTTCTTTGTGTTTAGTTTGCAGCAGTTTTATTATGATGTGTCTAGATATGATTTAGTTTTTCGCTGGAGTTCCTTGATCTTGAATCTAAAAACTAATCTCTGTCACCACATTTGGACAGTTCTTGACCATCATTTCTTCAAATATTTTTCTTCCTTGATCTTTTTCTTCTCTCTTTCTGAGACTCCATTGACGCTTTTACTAAACCTTTTGTTACTATCCCACAAGTTTCCTTGAGGTTCTTTTTTTCTCCCAGTCTTTTTAAACTGTCTGTTCTTTAGATAGGATAATTTCTATTGATCTGTCTTTCAAGTTTACTGACTTTTTCTTCTGCCATTTTCATTCTGCTGTTTAGCCCATGGTGTGAGTTTTTATAATGTATATTGTAGTTTTTATTTCTATAATTTTCATTTGTTTTTATAGCTTATATGCCGAAAAGTCATACCTTTTAATTTGAAGTGTGTTTTTCTTTATCTTCTGGAGCATCATTAAACCTATATCTAGGTCATCTTGGGGTTAGAATATGTCGATTTTTTTTTCCCTTGAGAAATGGTCATTTTTCTTTTTTTTTCTTTTTTACTATTATCAAATGATTTTGGATTGTATCCTGGACATTGTGATTGTGTTATATAGATTCTGAGTCCTGTATAATCCTCTGGAAAACGTTGAAGTCCTTAGGCTCAGACTGCAAGTTCTATTTCACTTTCTGTGGGTAGTGGTTCAGATATCACTTCAATTTTTAAAGCTAGGTTGGGACTAATTCATGCATGAGCAGCTAGAAGTAAGCCAGAGACCTCTGTGGGTTCATACACAGAATTAGGAGATCACCTTCTCTGGCTCCTTTTCCTAGTCCATCTGGCCAGAAAGCTGGAATTTTATTGGAGTTTTAGGCATCCCCAAGGTCACCACAGCAGTGTTGCTCCTCTACTCTCAGGGCAAAGCCATAGAGCGGAAAAAAAAGTCTGGAAACTCATGCAGTGTGGTTGCTTCTTCAAGTTTTGCCCACCCATACAATTCAGGGGCTTTTGTTTACATTTTAGAATCCTCAGATAGTTGTTTTTTTGTACTCTGTCTAGTGTTTTTAGCTATGGTTGGTTGAAATAGAAGGGGGTTGTTACACTGCTATAATAGAATTAGAACCTCTATCCTAATATTCCTTTTTGACGTGGATTATTTAGAAGTATGGTTTGAGGGGGTGGTTATTTTTATTTATAAGAAGTTATATTTAAGATTGTGTCCTTGAACTGATTAAAGAGGATTTTTTTACCGATTAAAGATGCAGCCTATCGTGATTTTTTTAATTTTATGAATCAAAAACTATAAAGTAGACGAAGAAAAACAGTTGGAAACTCAGACAATTTAATTAAATGAGTCATAGCAGGAGATTCAAAACACCTTTCTCAGCTTTTGACAAATTAAATAGAATATTTATGTAACAAAATTAATTTCCTTAGTATGTTTCATTTAGTGGTTATTTTATTTTAAATAAATATTTTATAAGACATTCTTTTCAAATGTCTTATAAAATATTTATTTAAAATAAAAAAATAATAAAATATTAGGCCACATAGAAAATCTCAAATTCCCAAAAATGTGACTATATGTATCTTGGACTACAGTGAAGTCAGAAGTTTGGGTGTTATTTTTCTTTTCACCCTCACAATTGCAGATTTTTACCAGCTTGTGTGCTGGACCTTCTGAGGGGCACACTGCCTCTAAGTAGCACATACACCATGCAGATCATAGAGGTCACCTGGTTTCACTTCTTAGCGTCTAACTCCTTTTAAAGGTAACTCCCGGTTTATGGAGTTACCTGACTTTTTTTTTTATCTGATTTTTACAACCACTTGCTTAAGTAGATTGGAAGCAGATAGACTTTATGATTTGCCTAAAAGTTCACAGTTGGAAGCACATACCCTCCATCTGATTCAGTGTTCTCTGCAGCCTTATACCACTGGCTGATTAATATGAGTCTCAAAATGGATTATTCTCAGTATATTTTGGAGATTAAGGAGAGAGTCAAGGCAGGAGTTGGAAAGCTTGGATATCACTTAAACTTTATTTGAAATTTTGCAGACCTCCAGGAAATCCCTGCTGGTGGTAGTTTTGAAGAAAATTATTTAGGTTTTGGTATATCAGTTGTACAGGTTAAGTTTATTGATTTGGACAATTGAGGGAGAGTTATTAAAGGAAATCAGCCAAATTTTAAAACAGAATGAAAGAAACTATTACAGAGAAAGTGTTTGAAGGTAGTGGTGTTGTGGGTGCTCTCATCATTAGAAATAAGCTATTTTTCCAAGATAAGGCTGTATAAGAGGAGTACTATATATAGTTTTGGCATTTGGGGTGACACTGGACAAATCACATGACTTACATATATTTTTCTTTTCATTAAAAGACCACTGAGATATTAAACCCAATTTACAAAGTTAGCTCAGAAATTCATTTTATTTCCAAGATCTACTCTATGTACCTTAGTTTTAGCTGAAGTACTTCTTCAAGTTGATTGTTTAAATAAATAGATTCTCATCTGATTTTAAACTATTTTCTCTCTCTTAAAACATTTAAAAAGTGCAATTACTCCATTACCAGGAAAGAGAGAAGAGAAAAAATAAACCCTAACATGATCACTATTAGCATCTTGGTTTACTTTCACTGTTTTTTTATTTTTCATTATGCTTTTTTCTTTCTTTTACTATCTGGCTATTTTAGAGGATAATAGTAAATCAATGTGGTTGCGAGTAAATCGGGGACACTCACTTGACATTAACTTCCTTCAACTCTTTCCTCCCCACTATTGTTGGAAGGGAAGGGGTTAATAGAAGCTAATTAGTTGTTGCCTAATTACTGAGTTAATAAGATGTTACTGGTCCATGTTGCATCTTTCTTAGATAATCAAGCATTGAGTAGCTTCTTAATCCTTAATAAGTATCAATATCATGTTGAGGATTTATTAGAACACAAATGCAGGGGCCCAACCCCGGAGTTTCCGATATAGTAGATCTGGCATGGGCCTGAGAATAAGAATTTCTAATAAGTTCCCAGATGATACTGATTCTCCTAGCCCAGGACCGCACTTTGAGAATCTCTGGTGTAGATCATGATTTTATGTGATCCTCTAACCATCACTGTCCTTATTCTGGTTAATCAAGAATTGACTCTTCATTGAAATCAAAGTTTAGATATTTTATACTACGATTTTCATCCCAAGTTGTTGTAGAGTCTTTAACTTAAAAAATTATACATGTTCATTAAGTAAAAATCAGGGGAAAAATAAGCTAAATGAAAAATTAGTTGTGAATTCCATCAGGGTTGATATTTTAGTGCGGTGTATATCCTTCTAATCTCAGTAGATAGACAGGTGGGCAGTTTATCTATTGCCTACTCCCCCGAGGTCAGATTAGAGACAGACACAAAACTGTATGTGTGTGTGTGGTATGAATGTATGTATATACACTCACGCACATATGTACACACACAAATATACCTAACAGAAAAAGAGATTGCATAATACATGTATTTTTAGCCTGCTTTTTTTTATTATATAGTGAATATCTTTATGCTGAATGTAGTTCTAAATAATTTTAATTGATGCAAAAATTTCCAGTGTGTATATTGTAATTTAATTTGTTCTCCATCGTTGGACACTTTTAAGATTTTTGTTCCAGTTTTTAGTTACTAAAAATAATAGCGTGTTGACTATGTTAGTACATATATTTCTCTATATTTGCTCAGTTATTTTCTTAGGATAATAATCTGCACATATAATTGCTGCGTAAAAGGTTATGTACTTTTAAGAATCTTTGCTGATTTGAGAGACAAAAACATTATTCTAGTGTTTAAATTTGTGTTTAGTTATTGGTAAGGTTTATTGGCCATTTTTATTTATCTTTGTGAATTTCCTGTTTATATCCATTGCCATTTTTTTTCCATTGTTTGCCCATCTTTTCATTTTTTGTAAGGTCTTTTATTAGAATGTAAACTCTTTGTCATGTGTTTAAAATATTTTCCCCTATTTTATTTGATTTACATCTTTAGTAGGTTCATTTTCCTCGCTGTCTACCCCTTGCAAAACTTTTAACACTTTTCTGGAGTCTGATGCTACCTAGAATGCTTAATCACCATTTTTAACAGTTGTGCGATATTTTTTTGATTTGGGTGTACCAGAACTCATTAATAAGCTTCAAATATTAGGGGTCCTCAAGAAAGCTTAAGTGTGTCATTGGGACTTTGTTTTCAGTTTATCTACCTTCTTTCTTTAACCAGATGCTAACCCTGAGGTGACAATGACAATGCTTCGCTGGATCTATACAGATGAGTTGGAGTTCAAAGAAGATGATGTGTTCCTGACTGAATTGATGAAACTAGCTAATCGATTTCAGCTACAGCTCCTTAGGGAGAGGCAAGTCACAGCAGATATATTCAAGCACCTCAGATGGTGGTGGCTGAGTTTTAATTATGCCAAGCTCTGGGAAAACAGCTTCTTCCGATAATGTAAATAACTTTTGCAAGGTGTTCTTTTAAAGGCTATAGTGGAGAGAGACTTTAATCTCCCTGGCATTGTGTTATCTTGTAAAGCTAAATTTTGCTAAAGCTTTTACATATTCTCTTTTCTTTTACTGCTTTATTACCTAAGATTATATAATTCTGTGAATTGATAAATGGAATATGAAATAATATAATCCAGTGTCCAAGCCCTCAACTTTCCCTCCTGTACCATTTCCTTTGACATTTTATGAAAGAGACTTTCTGATCTACTTGAAGTCCTTGTATTCCTAAATTAATACATGACAGTATGGCTCAGTTAAGTGTCATAACCAGTGTTTCTGAGGTCTTCTGTGGTCGCCTCGGCAGCACATATACTAAAACTGTGATCTTCATGTGTTACTGCTTTTTAGGTTTTCAAGGAAAGAGCCTGCTGTGTTTTTTTTATATTGCATTTTCTCTGTTGCTCTCCCAAGTTGACCTTTTTGAACAACAGAAAACAAATGATATCGGGCAAAACGCCCTTTAGTTTCTGTTGTAGATGTGGCCCTTGGTAGTTAGCTTGGTCGATGGAGTGTCTTTTTATATCTATATCATTTGATGATCTTTTGTATCGTGGCTGTGTGAAGAAAGGGATTTTCTCCTGGATGGGTGAAGGGATAGTTTCAACCATCAAGAGGCATTCTACCTGTTTTTGTGTTGCCCTCAGAGAGCCAAGGGAAACCTTGCTACCTAGAGCTGCTTGTTCTGTTTTCACTGTGGGGCTGATGTTTCCCTTGAGATGACCCGTTATGCCCATATGAATCCGTACACTGGTTACTCCTGACTTTCTATGATTGATGTGGGCTTAAGTGCATTTTAATACCTAAATCCAATAACTAAGAAAAAACTGAAACAGTTCTAAGGTTAGTAAAGCTAGCTTTACCATTGAGGCATTGTAATTATCTCGTTGTTTGGGTGAGTTTTTGAACCATCTGAGAGTGAAATGAAAACAATTTTAATTAGATTGAATGTGATTTATAGCCCACCCCCCAAGATTTCCTGAGCTTTCTCTCATTGACCTTGTCAGACTTTGATAAAAATGCCCTGGGGTTGGAGTAGTTTAGATAATTGTAATCTGTGTAATGGATTCATTAATTAAAATGTTTGTTGTTATTGACCAATTAGGCTTTGTAACTATTAACATTACCAGGCTCAGTTTTGTATTGTTGGATGTGGACATTAAGTTGTTACCTGTTAGGGATTTTGTTAAGAGCTGGGATGGAAGAGACCCAGGAGTGGATTCACATGTTAGTTTTTAAAAGGTTGCAGAGTGCCCACTGCTGTCTGCGGGAGAAATTACACATTTGAGATAGTAAGCGAAAGGGCTCAGATACACATGGGTGCATTTAAGTATGAAGTGGGTGTTGATCATTTTTTGTAACGTAAGGATCTCAGTGGTTTGGGAATGCTATCACCAATTTGATGAAGTTTTTTGGTAAGTATTATCAGGAATATACTCTTTCAAAAAAATAATATGCTAAAAATTGATAGTTGAAATAATTTTCTTGATTATTTTTTCTTAAATACATGTTCAACGTATGGTATTTGGAAAATATAGAATGATATAAAGAAAAAAACTAAGCCTTTTGTAATTCAACCACTGTAGCCTTTTGTTATTTATCTTTTCACTGTTTTTCTGTCTTATTCATACACATGGGATTGATACTAAAATTAAGAGTTTGTGGGACACTTTAATATATGCTTGATTTTGTACTTTAAAATTCATATTTACTGTTTTTGTGTGTCTGTATCCTTTTTGTACTCTAAAATTAAAAACATGTATTAACAAAATCCCTTCAGAGGAAAGTTAGTCTATCTTGCTACTTTTTAAAGAGAAAATATGAACTGAGAATCATGAATTTTATTGAAATATAATAGACAACTAGTTGCTTGTATTTACATTGTATAATTCAGTGAGTTTTTAAAAAAATTATAGTTGACATACAATAATATACCAGTTTCAGTTATATAGCATATTGATCAGAGATCCATATAACTCGCAAAGTGATCACTCCACTAAATCTAATACCCCTTTACCGCACTGCATATTTATTCCAATGTTATTAACCATCTTCCCCATGCTGCACTCTATATCTCCATGTCTATTCTGCAACTATCCATTTGTACCTCTTAATCCCTTTGCCTTTTTTCGCTGTCCCCCACAACTCCCCTCCCACCTAGTATCCCTCTAAATATTCTCTGTCTCTATGCGTTTATTTCCACTTTTGTTGTTGATTTCGTTCTTTAGATTCCACATGTATGTGAAATCATGCGATATTTGTCTTTCTCTGACCCATTTCATTTAGCGCAGTACCCTCTAGGTCCATCAAGGCAATAATATCTTTTTCCATCCCCTTCCTTTTAGTCTGTGTGTGTCTTTTAATCTGAAGTGAGTCTCTTGTAGGCATCATATGTAGAAGAATCATGAATTTTAAATAAGATTATATGTTCTTCAGTTGTGTTACTATTTATATCCTGTGCAACTAGTGAATGGTACTCTGGGGATCCCAGAGTTAAGTGAAAAGGAAGTGTCTGCCAGTTGTCACAAAATATCTGTTTTCATGAAGCATAGCTGAGACTATCTTGGTTTAGTGTCATTTGGCTGTAGAAAAGAGAATGGAATTTTCAGACTCTCAGCGTTATCTGTAAAAGTGCTTTGTAAAGTGCTTTGCAAAGATGAGTCAGTACTCCCTGAGATTGTACCATGTGTTAGGACACTAGGATGGCAAGACCACAGATGGTTGTCATTGTAAAAGTGGTAAAAGTTTCATATATATGAAAAGAGGACTTTTTTCCTGGAATGTTCTGATTTCCTAGCCGAGGTCAGAATGACTTCCTCAGACATGGCTATAGTATGGTGCGATTTTGGGAAAACTAGTGGTACAGACAGTGGAGGCTCAAAATTATAACATTATTACTCTTTGTTTTAGTACTTACTTAGATATTGTAATAATTTGATTTAAAAGTGCCCTGGGAGAGATGCTTCTTTATACTAAGTCACTGTTTCTTAAAAACAAAGGACTTAAATGTAGGTCTTGGAATAAAATAAATGTCTGCATTTACCGCTAGATGGAGAAATGACTCCAAGAATATTCTTGCTCCTAGCTTAACGTCTCATCTGTAGGAGTTTGAAAGTTTGTTCATCATTCTTCCCAGGTCTTTCACATGACTTTCCTTCTTTCTTCCCCATGCTCATGGTCTTTCTCCACTTGTTAACTAAATCTCACTTGTTAAAATTGGAAATTATCTGCTAGCCAATCAGTTATTCATTGTAATAGTACTGAAACCCATTCATATTAGTTATTAAATTATGTAACTTCCTTGAGGACCTCAGAATTACAAGCATACCTATTATGTACCTTTTACTGTGCAAAGTTTTCCTTTATCTTGAAAAATACACAGAGATCTCTAAACCTCTGAAATAGAGTATCCTTATTGTGTAGAGGAGGTGCTAGCGGTACACAGAGAGCTAATGTGTTTTGGCCTCTAAAATTCAGTGTATCTCAACGCAGTCTTTCTCAGCTCACAGTTCCTTTTTCTCTCATTACTACATTCTGTCCTTGTGAACAGAAAATGGTTTTTGTGGGGGCTGTGGGACAGAGGAGGCAATGGTGAGGTATCAGGGAATATCCCTGATACTATATTAGGCTGCTGTGCTACCCTTGGAGGCGAATCTGATTTGTAGGGAGATGTACAGGCAAGAGAGATGGAAGGACCATACTACTGGCCTCCTTCCCCCCGGGCTGGTTCTGTGGAGGCTCACTAAGATTCCCAGGAATTCTGGTGTAGTGGAAGCCTGGATCTTCCCAATGCTGGGTCTTCTGGACTAGGGCGTGTGCCTGCTTGTCTGTGTGCAATCCTTTCTACCCTGAGCTTGTCTGTGTGCAGCCCTTTCTACCCTGACAGAGTTGGTATTCTTTTATTAGTGATTGTGAGTCTTGTTGTTGTTACCAGGCTTAATGAGACATCCATTGTAGCCAGTTTTTCAGTCTTGGTGTACTGTGGTTTGACTCTTAGCTTAATTGTTTCTATACATGATAGATTTTTTTAAGTGGGCTTTTTATTTTTTATTTTATTTATTTATTTTTTAGGCAAGGCAACCCTTGGTTGACCTCACAGATTGCAAAGACCTTGTCAGCTTACAATTCCTTATTTTTAAATTTTTTACACCTACAGCATCTGGTCTTCTTAGGTGGTCTCCCATCCAAGTACTAACCAGGCCCAACCCCGCTTAGCTTCCAAGATCAGATGGGATTGGGCTTGTTCAGGGTAGCATAGCCGTAGACATTAAGTGGGCTTTTTAAAACCAGCTTTATTGAGTTATAATTCACATACCAAACAATTCACCTTTAGGGAGGACTTTTAAGGAGGCGTTAATTTATTGAGGCATAGAGCTTCATATTTGAAGCTATTTCTAAGCCACACTTGTTGCACAATAGAGTTGTGTTGGTGAGAACTGCAAATGTGTCCCATATAATTAAATATCAAGGGACTAAATTTGACCCATTGTCTGATTTTACAGTTACCTGTATATATGATCCATGAGTTTCATGTGATTACTTTTAAGGCAGTCGGGGGTTATGCTTAACATGTTTATTTACAGGTTATTTTGAGTCTGACCAGAGTGAACAATATAATATCGTAATGAAATGCTAATACTTTTAAAATATGGTAGCTATAATTTATTCATAACTAATTTGTTTAACCTTATACTTTAGTGTTACTGCACAGAGCCATCAGTATGCAGATCATTGCTTTGGTTTGTTCATTTGTGAATGTATTTGTCTTAATAATACTGTTCACTATTAATATTCTCTTTTAGATGTGAGAAGAGTGTTATGTCTTTGGTGAATGTCAGGAACTGTATTCGCTTCTATCAGACTGCAGAGGAACTGAATGCCAGCACCCTGATGAACTACTGTGCAGAAATTATTGCAAGTCATTGGGTGAGTGAAAGATTGAGGGTGTGGACAAAGTACCCTCACTGGAAGTCAGAAGTCCTAGGCTTGGGACCTGGTTCCATGGAAAGGTATCTGTCTGGCGCCTAGTTTCCTCTTATTACAAAACTGAAGGCTGAGTGGTTGCATTTTTTGATGTGAGATTCTTTTTGGCTCTTAAAATCTCACAGTTCTGATTTCAGAGTAGAGGGCGGAAGACAGCTAAGGTCAAGAAAGTCTGGCAGTGAAGGTGCACCTGCCTTTACCTGCCATCTGCAGAAGTGGCTGTGAGCCACAGGAGCAGGTGCTGCCATGGGGCTAGCAGGCCTGCGGTGCTCGGCAGCACCATTTCAGAGTTTTTTCCCCTTACTTTCTCCATTGTGTGGAGAACATTGTTAAATTTAGATTTGCCCTTCTTAGGTAGCTTTCATCATAAAGAACGGTCTTGCATTTCTTTGTTATGTTTGTTTTGCATTGTTAAAAAAAATCATAGCTATTGCTCTGTTTTATAATCTGGTTTCTGTGAATTGTTTGACTTTCAACATTGTAAGCAAAAGTGTCTTAAAGAATTGGATTTTAAAGTATTAAAACAAATAGTAACCTTTCTGCTAAAATGGGTAAAAATTTAGAGATCTGCAATATTAGAGACCAACTGTGACTAAGTGGAGTGAATTGTTTTTGGAAGTTCTGATTGATTCTGTAATTGCCATCTATTATCTTGTGGAGGGCCTTTGGTGGCTGTGTCCTTGTTGGATGTCAGTGTTGCTTGTGCTTTACCGTCTCATCAAGAGGCACAGTAATGCTTTGGTAAAGAGTAGCGTCTTGGGACCTCTAGGCTCTAAATCATGGCTTGGCCATTTATCACAGTGTGAACTTGGGCAAGTTATTTAGCTCTTTGTGCTTTACTTTCTTCATCTGTAAGATGGGAATGATAATAGTACCTATCTTAGGGTTTTTGCAAGGATTAAATCAGTTGGGAAAAGTTAAGTCCTTTAAAGTAGGGCTAGGCACCTTCTAAGGGCTTCTTAGTAAATGTCAGTTGTTACTGTTGATATGTTGAATCTGTTCTGCTTTTCACTATCTTTTTAATCTTTAGGATGACCTACGAAAGGAGGACTTCAGCAGCATGAGTGCTCAGTTGTTATACAAAATGATCAAATCTAAGACTGAGTACCCATTGCATAAAGCTATCAAAGTGGAGAGAGAAGATGTGGTCTTCCTTTATCTAATTGAAATGGATTCACAGGTACTGTAGCTGTGTTTTTCATTTTCATGCCTTTTCCCCAAACTATACTTCATTTGTTTTTCTCTGTAATGCTCCTCACTTCCTTCTGAGCCATCACTGACACAGTCTTTAATGTAATATCTCTACTATTAGTCTGTTCAAAGCAATCTGAGCTTTGTCTTATCATGCTCCTCAAAAATTCTTCTAGCTTCTGCCCATTGCCTAATTTCTGAGCCACTCCCACATTTTTAGGTAGTTATCACAGCTGAACCTAACTTCTAGGTACCAAAATCTGTTTTAGTTTTCTTTTGCTCCTGTAAGAAATTACCACAAACCTATTGGCTTAAAACAACTCAAATTTATTATCTCACAGTTTTATAGGTTGGAAATCCCATACAAGCATCACCTTTCTAAAATCAAGACTATGTTCCTTTCTGGACGCTCTAGGGGAAAATCCATATCCTGCTCCTTTGGGTTGTTGGCAGAAATCAGTTCCTCATGGTTATAGTACCAATGTCCCGATTTTCTTGCTGGCTGTAAGCTGAATGTCATAGCCTCTAGAAGCTGTTCTCAGAGGAAATGTCATAGATTCTAGAGGCTATGACATTCCTTATCTCATGGCCCCCTTCTTATCTAAAAAAAGCCAATAATAGAGGATGAAGTTCTTCTCATGTCACATCTCTCTGACCTGCTAATCTGCTTCCCCTTTTCACTTTTAAGGACTCATGTGATTAGATAAATTGAGTTCTCTTGGATAATCCAGAATTATTTTTTCCACCTCAGGGTCCTTAACCTTAATCTTATCTGCAAAGTGCCTTTCCATAGTGTAAGGTGATGTAGTCACAGGTTCTGGGAGATTAGGACACAAACATCTTTAGGAGGCTGTTATTCTGCCTACCACACTGTCTTAGAAGAAATCCAGTAGCTTTTGACAGATGGGAGTGTAGTATGTTTATCCTGGGTGTCCAGAGTGTGTGTGTGTGTGTGTGGTGTGTAATGTAGTGCTTTGTGCAGAGAGATGCTAAAAAAAATACACTGTCTAAGCCTGGAACAGGATAAACATATGAACTTACCAGCTGGGAAGTCGGAAAGGTAATTTCTCACAGCTTAGCAGGGGCGGGGGGTGGGCGGGGATAGACATTAAACTGCTAGGAGGAATTGAATAGTTAAGCCACAGTCTTTTATACAGACATTAGCTATTTTCCATCAGGCTCTCTGAACTGGCACTTTTGTTCCTATAGCACTGTCTGCATTTCCCTCTTGGTCCTTATATTGTCTTCCATGGTGTTTGTGTCTGCTTTGTGAGCCCTATTAATTCCATGCTCCCTGAAGGGCATGTGCCCTGAGGAGGCCTGAGAGAAATTTGTGAATTCATTTGAATTTGGGGAGTAAGCAGTGTTATAGTACTAAAATTTGACATTTGCATACGAGATGATATTTAAGTCAAGATGGGAGAGATTAAAATCAGTTGTATTCTCTCCTGGCTGGGTGCTAATTTACAAATTTATCTGTGCAGCTCCCTGGGAAGCTGAATGAATTGGATCATAATGGAGATCTTGCTTTAGACCTAGCTCTTTCTCGACGGCTAGAGAGTATTGCCACCACGCTGGTTAGTCACAAAGCTGACGTGGACATGGTAGACAAGAATGGCTGGAGCTTGTTACATAAAGGAATCCAAAGAGGTAGGAAGAAGTATATTTTATATTTTTCTCTGTGGACAGTTTTACTTTTATCCAAGTAATTTTTGAAGACTCTCTTACCCTGTTCCACAAAATTTCAAAGTCTTCTTGAGTCTGTACTCACAGGCTACATGATTTAGAATTTGTGATCAGTGAGTCAGGGAGGAACTAAAGAGCTATTGCCTCTGCCTTGTTGGTTAGGCTTGTCATAATGTCTAGAATGATGATACTTTCAGAAGTGCCTTTTACTTATAAGCTATTGATGTGTTTGCTTATTCAGTGTATTACTTTGTCCAGGAATTGTGCTAGGAAGATTTTACTTGTATCTATTACTGTTAAGAGAGGAAAACTGTCAAAACCACTAACAAGTTTAAACATATTCTTGGATTTAGAGTTGTCACTTTTACAGACTAGATATCTGTCACAGCTAAGTGGTAAAGTTTCATTTTGTCTTAGAAAAGTTATATGAACTTGTAGCTATCTTTTGAGTATATAGTCATTGGTAGTGAGATAGAATTAAGATAAAAACATTTTGATCTTAATAAATTTTGAGGAGAAAAAAGTACATCTTTTGTTTTATTTTGTTTTGTTTTTCCCATGGCCTTATTAACTCTTAAGTCCCAAATAGATCCTTGCTGACTCTACTTTACAGTAGTCATTTTTTGACAGAGTGGGAAGCTATATAGAGGTAGAGTTCATTATGGACTGAAAGCTTTCAAAAATGCCAAAGACTTAACTTTGTAGAGAGAGAGAGAGAGATGACTTGATTGAAGTAGTTAGCCATGGCCACTTTTTGTTTACATGTGGACGTCAAAGACAGTACACTGGTTTCCGCACATCTTAATCACGTATATTTACCCGTCCAGTTATGCATTATTACACCATTATTGTCTCTGCTACACTTTGCCATTCACAAGTTTGCTCCTAGTTGGTGGAATGTAGTTACTTCAGATATGATTCTGTTGCAGCTGTGGCTTTGCCCTTTTTGGGCAAAAGTTTTAATAATATAAATATCCCTCTAAGCCATGTGTTAGAGTGTTAAGCTTGCTGGCTGATGGAGAGGAAAATTTTGTTCATCACTGGGAAGGATATCCTTAGAGTACGTCAGTGTTAAGAACAGATGCATTTTTCCCAAGAACCATTGTGCAAAAACATCGGGGTGCTTGCTTAGTGCTGGGTGTGTGTTCAGTGGGGAAAGTTTCCACCACATAGGGAATTATTCTTTCCCATACCATTTAGTGTCTGAGATGTTTATTTTGGAAATAAATAGACTTGTTACTAAAAAAGCAATCCAGAATTATGTTTTCTTTCCTCTTAGGGAGTTAAAGTCTTATGTGTGATGGAAAAACATCTTTGATGAGTTATTAAATATTTTGGTGATGCTTAGTTACAAGAATTGCCAAGAATTGGTGGTGCATTTTTTATGCTTATTTTCAGATGATTTAATCTCCTACTCTGAATTTATCAGTTGCATTCAAGCCTGCAAGTTACAGTGTTGGTATGATAAACTTGGTTGTTGCTAGTTTTGGAGAGTGTGGCATGGTGTGGTGGACAAAGCACTGGTGTTGGAGCGCGAATGTACCATGGTTTGAATCTTGGCTCATCCACTTACTCTGTGGCCTTGCACAAGTCACTTAACCACTTGAGTGCTCTTTTCCTCATCCGTAAAGTGGGAATCATTTCTCTTTACTGGTTTTTGGGAGAATGAGAGGCAGTGTTAGCAGCACACCTTGCACAGTGACTACAGTGGGGTAGGGTCAACCCGCTGCTCTTACCTAGCCCCTGCATTGGAGAGCCACAACTCCTGTAGGACTTTTTTTCACTTTTCTTTCTTTAACTTGAGCTATCCGTCTGTTGACTTTGCCAAATAATTAAATTGAGTAACATACTTAAATTTAATTGTTAACCTTAGTTTAATTTTATTGTAATTTGAGTGAAGATCTTTTCATATATGAGATTTAAGTCTGATCTGGACATGTGTTAGTAGAATTTATAAACAAAATAGTGATCATTCTAATAACCAAGTATACCAATCAGTTTGTATGAGGAATGAAATAGGCAGCCAGGTGATATACATATGGCAAGAGGGATGCCATCTCTTCTGATTAACTGGATCTGGGCCAGAAGATGAATCCTTGAATTAAAAAAATCTAGTTCTTCTTGTGCTGATTTTCCTTAATAATCAACATCAATCTGTGGGTCTCTTAAATAGGATGCTCCTTTCTAATTATCAGTAGTAGATATGCAGATGATTCCACCAACTGGAGCAGCATGAGATATAGTTTGTATTAAATAATGAAAGTTACTGGCTGTTTCCTCAATAAAACTTCTGTCAGGAAGCTGCATTAAAAAAAATTGTATGTGGATTTTAAAATTTTTAACATGTTATTAGAAATATTTTTATGTGGATAAATCATTATAATAATACCTCACATACCTGACAGTATTGGCGAATGAGGTGATGAAGTAACTGAAACTTTTAAGAACCGTAAAACAGTTTCTATTTTAACTGTTTTTGATAGAAATCTTTCTAAAATGTATTAGAAGTTTCCTTTTTGACAGAAACTTTATAAATGATGCTTCTGACCTTTTCTGTTTCCTCCCTTTGTTCTGTTTTGTTTTTGATGTCAGTTGTCTTTTTTAATCTAGGTTGTGTAACCATGAGCTGACTTTCTTTTAATATAAAACATCATCAATTTTCAATTTACAGTAATTCCTAAATAACTTTTTGGGTGCAATGCATATATGTATGTTCATATATATATTTAAGAAAAATCTTCAGCTCTTATTAATAAGCTAGATCTAATCTAAAAGCTATAATTCTTTTAAGAGGATTTAAGATATAAACATTTTTTTATTATACCTTCCACCTGAATCCAACCATTAATAGGTCTTCCTGTACCCTTATTTCTGTGTGCAGTATTGCCCAGTTTATCTTCTGTATATGTAGTGTATTATAAGTTTTTTCACTAATCTGTATTGTTTTAGCTTTACTATCTTTTTATCTCTTTAGTTTGGAATATATGCCAAGCTTATAGGTAATGAAACCATATTCCACTTCTTCTCTAGTATCTTATATGTTGGACTTTTCATTTTAAGGCTTGTCTAATAACTTAATTTTCTTCCCATTTCTATAATGTAAGTGGCTTTCTCTAGGATATTTTATTCTGTTGCTAATATATTGTTTTTACATATTCTCTCCTAGACCAAATCTCTGTGGGGTACATACTGCACATTAGGGTTCTACTGAGAACTCCTCTGTGTGTGTGTATATATAGATGGCAAAGGCCTGACCCACCCTAGCCCTGTGGTATGCATGTTACCTGTTGCTTTCAGAGCTCTCCTGAAATCTTTTTGTAAAGAAATCTACACTTTGATCCTTTGCATATGATGTTGGTAAAGACTGCGCTTTCCTCCACCCCCTAAGAAAAAATTGGGTATGGAGAATGCAAATATTTTAGAATGTATTGGTTAGAGAAGTCTTAAGTTACTTAAAGTTAAAATTGATTGGAATTAGAGCCTGTCTGTTAAAGTGCAACCTAATAGCTTCAACCAGTCAATCCATTTTCTTCCTAAACATTTCCCTGGTACCTGTTTTGTATAAGACAGTGGGTGCAAAAGTAAATCAGACATGGACTGATCAGCATCTGAGAGGTCTGTGGTAGCCTAGCCACCTTAGTGCCAGAGCTTACATTCTCCAGCAAGATGATCCCTTGGAAGAAAGCACAGAGTACATGGGAAGTGTTGAAAACCAGATGATTTTGAAATTCCATGTCCACTGAAGACCAAATGAAATCCATATATTCATATGAAAATGAACATAGAAATATAAATAACAGACTTGAGAGCTTTGCCACTCCTGAAATTCTAAGCCCCATTCTAGATGTTCAGACTGCATAAGTATAGTTGAAGATGAAATATTATATAAACGAAAACTTCACATAAGTGACTTCAAGAGAAAATCATCATCTGGAAGTTGTGGTTCAAAGAAATGTGCATCTACAATATGAACAGAATTAGAAATAGATAGAAGTGTCCTGATGTAATGAAAAAAACAGATCTAACTATGGAAAAAACACCACTGCTTATGATCAGTGTAGTAAAGAAGTTCCAAGGCATCTTTAACAACTAGACTTTCATCCTAAGACATCTAACAACTTTAAGAAGTACAGTCACAATCGTAGGACAAGTAAATTAACCTGGGAGGTTGTTCTCATTCTTTGGATCTTCTAGCTAAAGAAGGATGTAATTTGCAAGAAATTCATCCCTTACAAGAAACCTTGGTGAAATGTAGATGCAGTCTAGAAAGTACTTCTGGATTCCAGATAAGCTCTTGGGATGACTTAGATATGTACTCTGACATACTCACTGAAGTTAGGCATGTGGACTGTCAAGGGGAGGATGAGTTTGATTTGAAAGACTTCTTAGCTATGAGCTTAGTCGACGCTACCTGGAGACTGCTCGCTGAAAGAAAGGATTGCTTTTATCCAGCTAGGTGGAATGTCTCAAAATATACATTATGCTTTTATAACTGGATGATTACTCTGTTAATAGTTTGTTATCTTATGATGCATTGTTATTCTTGCCTTATTTTCTAAAGAAGTGTTAATTTTGTGTATAGTGATTGTTTTTGCATGTTTTAAATTATAAATGGAACTAAATCCAGGGAAGGTTGAACTTGAAGTAATCTTACAGCAAACTTAATTGCTTAATCTCTAGCATCCTTTAAGTTAAGTTGACAAGTTTACTTAAACTGGTTTTCCACAGGTATTTTTAACATTAAATTGCCACTTGTCAAATTGCTTGCTTCTAAATTTAATCATATATTCACAGAATCGATCTGGAGTCAGCTTTTCTTTGTAGGTATGTGGCAAAGTATTTTCAGAATTGTATGCCTTTAATATCTTTATGTAAACTTAATTCTTGGCCTTTCGTCAAGATGTCAAGGTAGTTTTTTTCCTTCATACAGAGCACTAAATGGTCAAACATGGTAGTTTGAGCTATTGAAATTATTGGACTTCTGTGTAAGTATTCAGTCTCGATTTGGTATTTGTAAATAGTCCTAGTTAGACTCTTCTACCTGTAATGCTCCAAGAGTTAAGGCAATGAAAGGGACTTAGAATGAGATTTTGTTTTTTACAACCAGTTAATTCACTGTGAATTTTTTTGAAACTAGTAATGTGTACAGATTCTTTGTTCAAATATTCCATTGTAAACTTCTTACTAAGACTATTGTTTGTGTGAAATGAGATTGAGAAAATAAAAAGACTCTTTGTAATAATAATAAATGAATCAGACATGGTCTTACTCTGAATAGGAACCTGTATGCAAGTGCAGCAGGTTGCAGGTACGTGTTGCTTAGGTACAGACTGTGATGAGGAAATGAGGGAAGCAAATCGTGTTGGGGGGAAACTTTGGAACCTTTTTTGAGAGTTGATGTCCAGAAGAGGCCTTTGAAGGATAGAAGCCTGGTATATTTAAATAGTGAAGCAATGCTGAGGTGTGGGGGCGGAACAGATAACAGGTAATCAGAAATTGAATGAAGCCTTTTGAATTTGAGTATGTAACTCTGTGATCTCAATGATGAGTTTCCACTTAAAGGTGTCCCAAGAGGTTCCGCTTTAGACACAACCAGTTTTCCCTCTTCTTTCTCTGCAGTTACTAACTTGATGACTTTTTGAGGAAATATTGGCCAGAATATTTGGGTATTGTCATATTTGACGATTTCTTCTGTTATTTGATTTCAAGGCGATCTCTTCGCTTCCACTTTCCTCATTAAGAATGGGGCCCGTGTCAGTGCTGCTACATTAGGTGCCCAGGAGACACCGTTGCACCTGGTAGCATTGTACAGTCCAAAGAAACATTCAGCAGATATGATGTCTGCAATGGCACAGATTGCAGAGGCCCTCCTGCAGGCTGGTGCGAACCCCAACATGCAGGACAGCAAGGGCAGGTAAGTTGGGGAGCAAGTAGACTGCTCTTAATACCATTCCCAGAATGTTATTTTACAGTGGCACATAACTGGCAGACAGGGACTTAATATTTTTTTCCAGCTTTATTGAAACATAATAGACAATTAGTTGCTCATATTTACATTGTACAATTCAGTGAGGTTTTTTTTTCAGTTATAGTTGGCATACAATATTAGTTTCAGTTGTACAGCATAGTGATTAGAGATCTGTATAACTCACAAAGTGATCACCCCACTGAATTTAGTACTTCTTTCCCTTTACATATTTATTGACTACAACATTATTGACTATTTTCCTTATGCTACACTTTATATCTCCATGACTGTTTTGTAACTATCCATTTGTATTTAATCTCTTTGCACTTTTTCATCATCCCCCCAATTTCCCTTCTATCTAGTAGCCTTAAAATATTCTCTGTATCTATGAGTTTGTTTCTGCTGTTGTTGTTGCTATTGTTTATTTTGTTCTTTGGATTTCACGTGTACGTGAAATCAAATGGCATTTGTCTCTCTATCTGACTTACTTCATTTAGTGCGATATCCTTTAGGTCCATGAGGGCAATATCTTTTTCTGTCCCCTTCCTTTTAGTCTGTGTGTGTCTTTTAATCTGAAGTGAGTCTCTTGTAGGCAGCATATGTAAGGATCTGTTTTCTTATTCATTCAGTCACTCTGTCTTTTGGTTGGAGCACTTAATTCTTTTCCATTTGAGGTACTGGTTGATTGGAATGTAGTTGTTACCATTCTTTATTCCTGTTTTTGATACATGTTTTTTCTTCTAAAAGAAATCCCTCCAACATTTCCTGTAATAGTGGCTTGGTGTTGATAAATTCCTTTAGCTTATTTTTCTCTGGGAAGCATATTATCTGTCCTTTGACTCTAAATGATAGCTTCGCTGGATAAAGTATTGTTGATTGTAGATCCTAGATTTTCATCACTTTGAATATTTTGTGCCAAGCCCTCTGTCCTGCAAAGTTTCTTTTGAGAAATCAGCTGCCATGTAGGTATCTAACCTCTTTTCTCTTGCTGCTTTTAAGATTCTCTCTTTGTCTTTAACCTTTGGGATTTTACGTATGATGTGTCTTGGTGTGGTCCTCTTTGGGTTCCTCTTTCTTAGGACTCTCTGAGCTTCCTGGAGTGTATGGCTATTTTCTTCACCAGGTTAGGGAAGTTTTCCATTATTTCTTCAGATAGATTTTCAACTTCTTGTTCTCCCTGTTCTCCTTAAGGTACCCCTATGACATAAATGTTTTTACATTTAATTTTGTCCCATAGGCTCCTTAAATTATTATAATCTTGGCTTCTTTTTTCTTACCATTCTGATCAAGTGTCCTTGGCTTCCCCATCCTCTACATCAGTGGTTCGATTCTCTTCATCCACTCTGTTGATTCCCTCTAATATACTCTTTATCTCAGATAACATATTTTTCATTTCTGACTCATTCCCTTTTATAATTTCTATTTCCATTTTTATGTTTTTTATCTCTTTGTTAAAGTTCTCACTAAGTTCATCTACACTTCTCCTAAGTTCACTGAGCATCTTTTTAACCAGTGTTTTGAACTCTGCATCTGTTAGATTGCTTGATTCCATTTTTCCTGGATCTCTGTTTTGTTCTTTCATACGGTTTCTGCTTCTTTGTTTTCTCATTTTGGCAGCTTTTCTGTGTCTGTTTTTATATACTAAGCAAAGCTCCTAAGTCTCCCAGTCTTATTGACATGGCTTTGTGAAGCAGGTGTCCAGTGGCACAGTCCTGAGAGGGGTTCAGCTGCAGGCCAAGTTTAGCCCCAGTTTTTGCCCCTCTGGAGCCACATGTTAAGATTCAGCAAGAAGCCACACCAGAAACCGAGGTCAGCTACCATCAGTGTGGGTCTTGGAGATGCTCAACAGGTAGCACAGGACTTGTCCAGGACACAACTGGATGTGGCTTGGGTAGGGCTGTGAGTTGGGGGAGGCGGAGTTTCAGGGAATCTTCTAGGCAGAGCGACCTCTGTTGTCCAGTTTGATGACATCTCAGCCATGTCGGCACTCATACTTAAAAACGATGGATCTTCGTGAACTCTCAATATCATGTGGTAATTACTTTATCACCCAAAATATTGCATCCTTTTTTTTTCTTATGTTGATTCTTTCATTCTCCCCACCACCACCACCACTCCCTTCCCAACTGCAGTAAACTCTGGCAGTCTGTGCCTCTCAGATACATGCTAGCCTGGTGCTCTCCAGTGGCTGTCACTTTCAAGACACTTGAGAGATAAATAAAAGCATTGAAGAGTGGTTAAATGCCAGTTCCTACCCGTTGCCACTCTGAACATGTTAGAGAATAACAGAAAATTATGGGAAGGAAAATATTTATTTTGAGAATTGTGGAGGATAGGTAGGGAAAAATATGTATACCTATGGTAGAAACTGCTGTTTTAAAAACATGAGTATGTACACAGTAAGTGTCAGTATTTAATAGGAAGTATTTTTTATCTGTTCCTTTTATTGATTCTTGTCCTTTTGGCCACTGAATAAGTGGTAACATAGAAGCAAACACATTTTCATTCATTGATACTTGGTCATGGTTTTAAAGAACTATTTGCCAGGGTATAAAAAGACACTTTTGTAGAAATGTAGGATTTGTTGTGGATGGTGATTCTACACAGGAGTTTAGTCACCTCTTGCTGAGTAATTGGGCCTGTCCTGACTGACATCTCTTTTTCATCCTGCAGGACTCCTTTACACTTATCCATCATGGCCAGGAATGAATACGTGTTCAATCAGTTGCTGCAGTGTAAACAGTACGTAGGGAGACATGGAGAAATGAAAAAGCAGTTGTGAGGGTGGGATTGTGAGTGAAAAATAATTCTTTTAAATTTCTTTTAGTGTTATAAATTTTAATAAGTAAATGTAAAATTAAAAAATGATCATTCAAGAAGCGCAAAGAGAAAGGTTGAGGCTTTTGGCAATATAGAGTGTCTGAAGGAGATGTTTGCTGTTCACATTGCTTTCTTATTTTAGATTAGATTTAGAACTGAAAGACCATGAAGGCAGCACAGCTCTGTGGCTTGCAGTGCAATACATCACTGTGTCATCAGACCAGTCTGTAAACCCTTTCGAAGACCTTCCTGTGGTAAATGGGACTTCATTTGATGAAAACAGCTTTGCAGCCAGACTCATTCAGCGTGGCAGCAACACCAATGCACCTGATACGATAACAGGTAAAGCATAGATCATGAAGAGCTGATGCTAAGTCTGGAGGCTCCATGAAATAGTGTCAGTGTTTTACCTACAATTTAGAAACTGGGTGACATACTATTATAAATCTGAGTTCTTTTTTTAATCTTATGCTTCAAAAAATATAGCCAGACTCTGAGTTATGTCCTTTAAGCTGCAATACAATGGGGTGAGTTTCAGACTTTCTGGACTCAGAACTCTTTTTACTCAATTAAAAATTATATTCCAAAGAGCTTTTGTTTTGGTGGGCCATATTTCCGATATTTGCTGTATTAGAAATTAAAACAAATTTTGAAAATATGTATTAATAATAACAAACCATTATATGTTAACATAAATTTTTTTTTTTGAAGAATAACTTTCACAACAGAATTTCTTTGGAAGAATTACTGGTTTCTTATATCTGCATCTGTGTTCAACTTTTGAGATATGTTTTGGTTAAAGTATATGAGTGAAACATACCCTCACATAGTTATGTAGCTGGAAAATGTAGGCATATTTTAAGAGCCTTTCCAGAAAATTGTAGACCTATTTCTTTGATACTACAGCAAGCAGAATTCATCAGGTGATAATTTCTTTAAGGTTAGTTGCAATGTGGAATCTGAAACCATATCAGTGAACTTTTTGTATTTTGTTATATTAAAATCCATGTTCTGCTTGTGCTTTGAATGGATCTTTTCTCCATGCAGGATTTTGTAACATCATGCCTTAGTCATTTGGAAAATATTGGTTCAATGAGTTATGTAAATCTTTAAAATGTTCATGTTATTTTAGAATCACATTTATTATCACCTCCGATCTCATCAGAAAAGTCAGTATTGATAAGTCGTCAAACTTAATAGTTGCAAATTCTGATTTTCACTTGCAAGATCAAATTTTATCATTTGATACAAATTGTTTTTCTTACACAGACAGGTTCACTTTGTTCATTTTCAAGAAAATGTCTGCCGAGTACTTACATTTGAATACCATAGTTTGTTAATCAGTTCTTTCAGGTAAAAATGGTTTTCCATGCAAAAAGCTGCTACTTCGTTTGTAGTTTAATAGTTACACAAGTGCTTTTCCTCCAGACAATTCTTGTACTTTGTTACAGCAAGCATGGCTTTATGTGTACTTCTTTTGTCACACAGAATGTTAAAGACATGTACTCAATGTTGAGATTTAATAAAGCTAGTAATTTTTACTGCTTTATCAAAGACTACCTTAAGTGAAACTGGCTTTTTTTGACTGGATACGTGGATTACAGTGACTACTAGTACATTTTGAGGCCCCTACCTTGATTTGTGTTAAGGCTCCCCAGTTTCATCCACCATTGATTTTGTACCATCAGTGCACACTGGAGAAAAGCAAAAATATCAAGTATTATTATTATGAAAATAGCTTGCCCTCATGGAAACTCCCAAGAATCCATAAACCACACTGTGAACCACTGTTTTAAAGTGAATATCTCCTTGATCAACTAAATAAAACATGAGGATGTTTTAAAGAGAGGGATCGATTCCATATGATTCAGTATCGAGTACCAGCAATACATAAAGAATGGGAACGTGCCACTGACAAGGGGAATTGGCCAAAAAAAAAAAGGGTGGCTATTAAATAGCTCTTCCCCTAAAATAGGTTTAATAATTAACATTTAAATAAGGTTCAAATGAAATCATCCCTCTGGGTGACATAAAAACTAAAAGCAATGGTATATAGGACAGGGAGTATAGAAAATACTATGTTTAGACCTAAGACCCACTGAAAATGAGATTGTTACTAAATTGCTTTTAATTTACAAGCGTTTGTTATTGCCATAATTTTAGTGATTTCTAATTTTATCTACATTATGTAAGAGCGTGGCATGTAAGAGATTGGTTCTTTGATATTTAGATCGAATATTAGACTCATATCCAATTTTTATAAAAGTTTGACATGTACTTGAAAAGAATGTGCATTCTTTAATTGTAGGATGTGGCATTCTCTGTTTATGTTCATTAAGTCAAGCTTGTTCATTATGCTGTTCAAATCTTACTCATTAATTTATTAACTTCAGACTGCTTAATCTGTCAGTTCTCTGGGAAGTATATTAAAATTTTTCTCTGTGATTATAGATTTGTCCATTTTTCTTGGTAATTCTGTCAGTTTTACTTTATATACTTAGAATTTTAATACAAGTTCATGATTATTTTTTTCCTTGTTCCATTTTTTTTTAAAGACATGTACTCAGTGTTTTTTAACATTTTCAACATCTCAATGATGTTTTAGCAGTTGCAGGTTATCTTTGTTCCATAGGGAGGTACAGATATCCCCCACTTTTCAAGTTTGTCTTATACCACTTCACTTTTACGAAAGACCTACCTCTTTTGCTAACGAAAGAAATCCAGAAGATTTTCACTTTTACAAAAAAAGGCAAAAAGCAAAAACAGCATTCAGCATCTGTTTGTGACACTGCTTTTACTATGTTAGTGTTTTATTTTAGGTTTTATGTGTTATTTGGTATGATTTGGTAAGTTATTTTTGGGGTCTGGGAATGCTTAAAAGTTTTTCCATATAATTAATGGGAATTGCTTTACACTTTATGCCATTTCAGCTTACAAAAGGTTTCTTAGGAAACCTGTACTTCCAGATAACGGGGAAACCTGTGCGTGATGTACATTTTGTGTACACCACAGTGACTACAGAAATGACAATGAGACTTTAGGAGTCTGAATTAGAATGACTCTCAACTAGGGGTGCAACGACTTTCTCTGAGGAAAAAGGAAAAAATAGAATGAAAACAAAGCAGTGCTTTGTCCTATCTCTTTACCTTGTGTTTAGTCCTGGTATTTAATTTTGTTTGTGTTTTCAAATAGCATAGATGTAGAACATTAGATTTTGTGTTTATTCAAACAGGAAATGGATTTTAATAGGGAAACACTGCTCTGGGCTTAACCATTTTAAGAGGAAAAGAAGAAAAAAAATTTTGTTTCACTTAGAAAAGAGTGATAGTGCTAAACAAAACATTTCTAAGCCACAAATAAAACAAATTTAAGGCCCTAGGAGTAAAACTGAATTGTTTCAGGGGCATTTTCTGGTAGAACTTTAACTCACAATGTCTTCAAAATGGTCATCTAAGAGTTTCTCAAATATGGATGACTCCCTTCCTCCCAGGGACATTTGGCACCATCTGTAGACATTTTTGATTGTCACAAGTTGGGGGCACCACTGTCATCTAGTGGGCAGAAGCCAAAGATACTGCTAAATATTGTGCAGCATAAGGATAGACCCCTCACAACAAAGAATTATTTACCCCAAAAAGTCAGTAGCACTTGCTACTGAGAAACTGTTCTAATGCAGCTCCAGTAAGGAAGCATAGCTTGCTTTCGGTCCTGGGTAGTGGCTAGTGTAAACCCAGGGAAGAAGGAATGAATGTCTCCTGGCTTCTAGACCAAGTCTTTCCTCTGCCCAGGTTCATCCTAGTCTCTCAACACAATTAGGGAGTGCCTGTGTGGACTTAATTTGTACCGACTTCTGATGTGGGCTTCTCAGTTGTGATAAGTGGTGGGAAAAGGTGGGGTATGGTGCAGGATGGAACTGGATCTCATTTTTATGCAAATGAGAGAATGAATATGCCCATTTTCTCCTAGGAAATTGCTTACTACAGCGGGCAGCTGAAGCAGGAAATGAGGCAGCAGCTCTTTTCCTTGCAACTAATGGTGCCCACGTCAACCACAGAAACAAGTGGGTAAGTTTGACAGGGCAGTCAGGGGAAGTGGTTTTGATCTATGGAAGAAATGGCAGTGGCAGATATGTAGGAAAAAATGGAATAGATTCTTTTTTTAATTTTTGTCAAAGTAATACATGCATGTGGTTAAAAAAAAACAATGAAATAAATGCTTTTATCCTCAAATATTGGTTGGTTGATTCATTCAGCAACCATTTCCTAAGTATATCAGATCCTAAACTACAATATACGTATGTTTGTCTTTCTGTGGATATTCTGTTACAGGAAAGAAATAAACTGGTAATGGTTTTTTTAGGGGAGGTTAATTGGGTGGCGGGGCAAGGCATGAAAGGCAACTTCTTGTCAGTCACTGTATAGTCTTGCAGCTTTTGAATATCGAATCAAATTACCGGTAGTACTAACTTAAAATGTTTCTAATTTTGAAAAGTGGAGGGAAGTGATCTTGATCAGAGTTTGAGATGAGGTTGATAGAACAGGTGAAAGAAATGGCACAGATGTGCTGGCAGGGCTCAAAGAGACATGATGGTCATGTTGAAAGCATTGTTTATCTCTGGGGCCGTGACTGTGAGACTCTTCCATTTTCTGCAGTGTTTATTTTAGTGATACTTGGATGTCCTCTGTTGTTTAATAACAGTCATATTATTATAGTTACCAAGATAATTATAAATACAAAGTTTAGGGTGGTTAAAAGGGTCATTGGAAATGCAGAAAATGAGGTGCCAAGGAGTTTGAAGGGTGCTTGGGAAGACTGAAGAAACTAAGGATGATGGCACAGGGGGAAGGGGGAGAGAGGAATGGATCAAAAGTCATGGTGCTCAGCTGGTGACAGGATGAACCAAGAGCTGTGACTGGCACTGGGGACCTGAACTGAGTTTCAGCACTTAGGCTGTCATTGTCTTTTTGTGAAGGGAACTCCCAGCCTGAAAGTGCTCTGATTTGGGCCATTTGTTTCTATTCAGGGAGAAACCCCGTTGCACACAGCCTGTCGGCATGGCCTGGCCAACCTCACTGCAGAGCTCCTGCAGCAAGGTGCCAACCCAAACCTGCAGACGGAAGAAGCTCTGCCTTTGCCAAAGGAGGCTACATCCCTGACCAGCTCAGTGGGCAGCGTCTATATGCAGACGCCACTGCACATGGCAATTGCCTATAATCATCCAGATGTAGTGTCTGTCATCCTGGAGCAAAAAGGTAGGTAGTTGGGAATTACTGCCTATCAGTTTGACCTTTGAACAGTGGTTTTGAGTAATTGCAGAGTTGGTGTTTCTTGCATTGATGAGTGTTCTTACCCAAAAAATTCTTTCAAGTCAAACTAGATAAGCATATTGTCTGGTTCCCAACTACTGCATACATTTTCAGATTGGGGCCTGCCCATTTCACCCTGGGTTAAAGTGTTAGAACCTTTGACTACTTCTCTCTTAATTTGGGATGTTTTCCCAGGCCATTCCAGTGTAGGTCAAGCAAAGCTTTGCTTTGGTGTGGGCACTGTCTTTGAGAAGCTTGCTATCAGCAGTTCCTCCACCAGCGGTCAGTTCTCTGATCTGCCTCTGAGCCTCCTTGGCAGGTGAACTATGAAAGAGGGGCCAAGGAAAGCTCTTGCAGTGGGGGAGGCCCATTTCTCTCAGAAAGTCATCCTCAGATTCTCTCTTCTGTCCTGAAATTTGTTTTACTTTTGCCTGCATCTTAGGTAAGGCCAGCACTTTTTAGCAGTGTGCTGTGGAAGTAATTAGGGTTTTAGGTAGAATGTGCCTTTTTCTTGGTCCTCACAGGAATTATAAGATGGTAGGAATTATGTATTAGGCAAACATTGAAAGGGCATTGTTTTGATCCTTTTTCCACAGTTAAGTAATTAATGTATGTTTCCATAGCAGAACCTGGTTTCCTTTTGTGATGATTCAGTGATTTAAGTTTTTTAAAAAAGTCATTTTCACCATTAGCTTTGTTTTAGAATATCAGATTTCTGGGCTTCCAATCTGCACAAAGAGATTTATCAGTTCTCTTTGTAAAGAGATGATCATATTTTATAGCCAGTCACTTTGAAACTGAGCTTTTTATTCTCTTGAATACTTTAAATGTGATCTATGGGATGGTGAAATCAAGTGTTCTTTTTCTTTTAAAAATTTAGCTAATGCTCTTCATGCCACCAACAACTTGCAAATTATTCCGGACTTCAGCCTCAAGGATTCCCGTGATCAAACTGTGTTGGGCCTGGCATTATGGACAGGTAAGGTGGTGCCAGAGGCTGTTGATGTCTGCCGACAGACATAGGGTAAAAGGCGGAGGGTGAAATATGGACAACTAATTGTCTGTTATATTTCAGTAAAGGTGGGGGTGAGGGAGCCAGGGAGTGAGGGGGAGTGCACATGCAGAGGGCTTGGAGCTAATCAGTTGGTTGTAAAATAACCTTTCTGTTTGGGTTAAGCCTGTACTACCCAGAGGAAAACTGCTGGCTTTGAAAAGTTGAGAGGGTGTGTTTGTTGTAGTAAGATGTTGAAGAAATGGGAAAAGCTGGGCATGCATTAATCAGGGCTTGTTTATTTCCCAGGCATGCACACAATCGCAGCCCAGCTGCTGGGCTCTGGGGCTTGCATCAATGACACCATGTCAGATGGGCAGACCTTGCTGCACATGGCTATGCAGCGGCAGGATAGCAAGAGTGCACTCTTTCTCCTGGAGCACCAGGCGGATATAAATGTAAGGTAGGTTGTAACAGCTGTAACACTAGGTAACATTAATTGAGATGATTCAAAAGCACAGTCTTGCTTGTAGAATATGTTTTTGTTCCTTGTTAAATAAAGGAAGGGGAACAATGACTTTGAAAAAGTACAAGTGCAATACTGTAACTATATATAATCATACAGAGAACATTCCAACAAATGAGCTATCAAAATGACTTGAGGGGGGAAAATACACAGAGTTAAACTTTTATTGTTTCTGTATTTTCAAAGGACTTTATCTCCAGTGTCAAGTGATCCTGAATGAGTGGGTGAAAGAAGTTTTTTGTCAAACGGGTAGTTGAGGTGGCATTTTATTAAGATGCTGTTAAAAGCAGCTGTATGCCTATAAGATTTCAACATTCTGGGATGTTGGTCATTTACCTTCTCTGTGACATAGGATGGCATGGCTATACATTTTTTAAAAGGCAGAAGGGACAGATACTATTGATAGGTTAGATTTCTCTGGAAGAATATTAATGAATGTGAATGAAGTGTGTTTAAGGGGTACAGCAAATTCTGGTCTATGGATTGCCCAGAGATGGAAGGATACTGTTTATCATTTGGATCCAGCTACAAATGTTGGTTTTGGTGTGCATGTCCTAGCAGGACTCAGGATGGGGAGACAGCCCTTCAGCTGGCCATCAGAAATCAACTTCCGCTTGTAGTAGATGCCATATGCACCCGAGGAGCTGACATGTCCGTGCCGGATGAGAAAGGGAACCCCCCACTGTGGCTTGCGTTGGCAAATAATCTGGAGGACATCGCATCCACTCTGGTGAGACAAACTCAATTTTAGCCTCTGTTTATATGTGTGGATATTTTCTGTTAGAGATAGATTTGGTGCCTACATAGCAATCAAAAGGAGCAAGAGGTCTGCTCCTTTTGGGTCAGGAATGAGTAGTAGAAAGTCATGTTAAAGAAACTTGCAGTTCATCATAGTCTCAGCCAGCATTTTTTTATGCTGTCTTTATCAAGAAAATTACCAAAAAGCAAGAAAACTGAGGCATTCCTCATGAATCTTCTCCTGACATAGATCTATTTGTTGTGGGCTGCCCTCACTATTACTATAGTGATAAATTCCCAAATCTCAGGTTTGTCTCCCTTGTTCAGAAGACAGGCTTCCCAAAGTGGATGTAGCCCTCAAGGTTTCTTAGCTTTCCAAAGGGTCAGAAATGTGACATTGAGGCATTTTGCACCTGGTGGGGGATGTTACCCAATTGTTATTGAGATTACTTGTTAATTACAGGTATGTGTTACTGGGGGCTTATGAGTATTTGTATATGCATGCACTTATGTGTATTTTCTGTTCCTCTAGAAGGCACTAATTAAACATAGCAATCTTAGACTTCCCAAACACATCCCATAGGACCTAGTGCAAGAACTTAAACAGAGTAGATTTTAATCAGTGTTTGTAAAAATAATGAAACATTAAAATAATTATCAGTTAATTATCAACTGTGTTTGCCTGAAAAATGGTTCTAATGATATGCATACAGCTCAGAGATGGTAATAAAAGTTTTCACCTTCTCTAGGCAGTGTTTGTGAGTAACCTATGTTTTTTTGCAGGTCAGACATGGTTGTGATGCCACGTGCTGGGGTCCAGGACCTAGTGGGTGTCTTCAAACACTCCTGCACCGAGCCATTGATGAAAACAATGAGTCCATCACCTGCTTTCTTATTCGCAGGTCAGAGAAGCCTAAGTATCTCTTCAAATCTTTTTATTCAGTTTATTGCAAACTGGCTACAGTTGGCTAGTTTTGTTGTTGGCTTGACTTTCATAATCAAGGCTATCAGTGGGTCACTGTTCTGTCAAGTCAGCCAAGCGACTTAACTCACTTATGAGGGGAGGAGCTCATGTGTCCAGATAAGAGAATCTAAAAGCTAACTCAGGTTCCTACTTTAGGAGCCATGTAGGCTTTCGTCGTCAAATCAGACCAGTTTACAAAGAGAAGCCAGGAAGCTGGGGTAAAGGAAACCAAATGGGCTCTGCGGCACCCCACTAAGATGCACGAGCAATAACAGGCTTCATGACCTCTCAGTACAGGATGTGTGGGAGGCAGGGTTACTCAGGAACCTTTAGAGCAATGGTTCTCAAATCTTAAATGTATGTATATCTCCTGGGGAGCTTTAAAGAGTTCTGATGCCAAGGCTGCCCCCAAGACCAGTTGCAGAAGAATCTATGGGAGTGGGACCCAGACACCAGTATTTGAGGCCAAGGACCAAGGACAGCAGTCCTTGGCAGCAGCAGCTTTTTGTTGAATTGGATGAAGCTGCTGCTGTATCTATATGCCTTTTGGCTTGGTGAAAGCATGGTGCTAAGAGCCTTCTATTCATTTCCCTTTCTTTTTAGTGGCTGTGATGTGAATAGTCCCAGACAACCTGGTGCTAATGGAGAAGGTGAGGAAGAGGCCAGAGATGGGCAGACCCCTTTGCACTTGGCAGCCTCCTGGGGACTGGAAGAGACAGTACAGTGTCTTCTTGAGTTTGGCGCCAATGTAAACGCGCAGGTATGGCAAGTTTCTCTTTTCCTCAGAGATAGATGGTAACCCCAGAAGTAGGAAAATTTCCTCTTCTGGCAAAGGGACCTTGCAGATTCTCTGGTCCTGGTCCTCTGCTTTACCATGATTGGGGCTAAGATACAGAGAGACGAAGTGACTTTCTCTGGGCCATACAGCCTGTCTGGTAATTTTAATGATTTTATGATAAGACTTTTCTTCTTTGTGCCTTTGTCCTTTCTGCAGTGTGAGGTAGATTTAGTGAATCAACTTTTCTTTTCCTCCTATCTCTGTTACAGATTTCCACTGAGAGTTTGTTTTAGCCCCAACTTACAATGGTTCTACTTAATGATTTTTCGACTTTATTATGGTGCCAAAGTGATACACATAATAAATTACATGAGAAATATTCAACTCGTTAGTTTAAATGGGCTTAGTGTTAGATGACTTGGCCCAGTTGTAGGCTAATGTAAGTGTTCTGAGCACATTTAAGGTAGGCTAGGCTAAGCTATGATGTTTGGTAGGTTGGGTGTATTAAATACATTTTCAACTTAAAATATTTTCAATTAACCATGGGTTTATTGAGTTGTAGCCCCATTGTAAGCTGAGCATCTGTACAGTGTTTAGGAAAATGTTCCAGTAGCCCAGTTGAACATAATTGAGTTGTGTTCCTTGATGTTTTTTAATGTTATAGCCTATGAAGATTTATGTATGCTGCCCTGTAGCCAGATAAGGAGTAGTATAACTTAGAGATGAGATTGACTGCAGATCTTCTAAACCAAGTGTGTTTGTGCCCCTGGGTCACTGGAGCATAGAGTAATGGGGAGTGGCTTTTAGTCATCTTTTCTTGGCCTCTTTAAAGGCTGATTTCAAACACAGGGTGGCAGCATTGACTCTCAGAACCAAATTTGTTTTAAAAGTTATTCCCCTTAATATTTTTCTTGAGTTTTGTTTTTCCTTTGGACATTGAAACCTGTACCTTGTCCCTATAGGATGCAGAAGGAAGAACACCTGTCCATGTGGCCATCAGCAACCAACATAGTGTCATCATTCAGTTGTTGATTTCTCACCCTGATATCCACTTGAATGTACGAGACAGACAAGGGCTGACCCCTTTTGCCTGCGCCATGACTTACAAGAACAACAAGGCAGCTGAGGCCATCCTAAAACGAGAGTCTGGGGCTGCTGAGCAGGTAAGGAACTAATACCCAAGTGTGCCCCAAGCACTGCAGAACGTGTTACATGGAAACTAACCATATGTCACCAATTAAATAGATCTCTTATTTATAAAGACATTTGTTCTGAAATTATACTCCTCTCTTAAAATTTGACCTTTCTGATACCCTGTCAGTGCTGTATGAGATTTCACTGTTCTGCCCTGTATGCCAGCCATCTGATGGTGCCACATGTAGGAGGAAGCTGGAGGTGACTGGACCCAGTAATAAGAATTCTGTCTCATGTACAACTGAGGTCATTCTTTGCTTTCGTTTGGTTATTTAATTACCCTAGTAATGAATGTCTTTAAAAGATTGCAATTGGAGTTGAGGAGCTTTTGGTCTGATGGCAACTCTGAGTATTTTAGAAGAGTTAAATTGTTACCATTCAGCTTAGCAGACTCAATTGTCCTGTTTTTTATGCATAGTGAACTGTTGACCTGCAGTAGCGGATTGTCTAGGAAATGACAATAGCAACTGATCTGAGGTGGGAGCTTAGATGGGTTTGTTAAGTCAGTCTTACAGACACTTGAATCTCTATCCAGCACTTAGAATACTGCCAAGTTTTATGAATTGCCATTTAAGGTAAAGTGGAAACTTGGAACCTGAACAAAATGAAATCTAACAAAGTTGAAGACTATTGCTTGGCATTTCAGATTTCTGTATATCGTGTTTCTTGAGCATTTGCATAAGTGTGACTGAATCGCGTAGGTGTTTATTTCACCATTGCTCAGATAGTGTAAAATGTTCATGAATGGACACAGTCATCTCACATTTCCTCTCTGTCTAGTATGAGACTGGTATATCAGAGTCTTTTGCATATACATTGCTTGTGATACCAGCATATGCTGTGGATATGTGTGTGTTTGTGAGGGGACGTGGTATATGTGTAGCATGTTGGTGTCTCCTTCACTTCTCACAAAGCAGTCATACTGATAGGATAGCTCTTGTAGCTACAGTACCCTCTGTAGTTTGATTCGAGTGAGCTTTTGTCTACATCAGTGAAGCAAACTCTGTGATATTGGCTGTCTCCTACGGTGTATATACTATTATCCCGTAGCCTGATAAAAGAAAACTTTCTGAAAATTTCTGAAGATTTGATTGACTGCTCAGGGTGAGGCTGGCATTGCAGCTGTGATGTTAGGATGCTGGGCGCTTGTTTTAGCCAAAGCATGAGACTCCTAAGGCTAATTTCCAGGTTTGCCTTTCCCTGACCACCTCAGTATTTTGGTGCCTTCCTTTCCCTGTCTCTCTCTTGGCTTTCCAAGTCCAGCTCCTGCTGCAGGAGGATGCCAGAGCACCTTAGATCAGTGCAATGTCCCTTTCCCCGACCACATGGATGTAACCACGCGCACGTGGTCATGTGCACAAATATGTAGGATGGGTCTGTTTTTTGGTGGGGGGAAGGGCGTGCATTTAGTGTTGTTATTGGGAGGAAGCTTCCTGGAACTGAGGGAAGGACTACACCATGACCTCTCCAGTGGTCAGTGCAGCTTGCAGCTACTCAGGAGGCACTCTTGCATAAGAGACACACTAATATTTTGGTTCCTACTTGTTGCCTTAGGTGGATAACAAGGGCCGGAATTTTCTTCACGTGGCAGTTCAGAACTCTGATATTGAAAGTGTTCTGTTCCTGATCAGTGTCCAGGCTAATGTCAATTCCAGAGTTCAGGATGCTTCCAAGTTGACTCCTTTGCACCTTGCTGTCCAAGCAGGCTCAGAGATTATCGTACGCAATTTGGTAAGTATTGCCGAAACATATTTCATGTAACAGGTAGGCAAAGCACGTGTTAGAGTGTATACAGAATCTCTCATCAAAAGTGTTTTGCCAGGTACTGCAAAAGGCCTGTGCAAATTTGGGGAGCTAAGCTAATATACTCAGGAAAATAGGTGTGGTAGTGGGCGTCATATCCTAAGTGCCCAGTGGGCTGCTTGGGCGGGGAGATGCTGGAATGAGGCCTTGAGGGATAGCAGGATTTGAGTGGTTGAGGCAGGGTGGAAGCATCTAGGGAAGGGAGAGATTCATTTCTGTCATTTGCCTACTCTATGTCAGACACTCAGCCGGTGTTTTTGAGCGCTCCCTCCCTCTCTTTATCTCCCACCTTTAGTCTTTTTTTTTTCCATTGAGATATAATTGACATATAACATTAGTTTCAGGTATACAACATATTGATTCAATATTTATATATATTGCAAAATGACTACCACAGTAAGTCTAATTAACATCTGTCACCATAGTTAAAAAATTTCTTGTGATGAGGACTTTTAGGATTTACTCTCTTAGCAGCTTTCAAATATACAATATAGTAATGTTAACTATAGTCACTATTTGCATATTACATCCCCATAACTTATTTATTTTATAACTGGAAATTTGTATCTTTTGACCCCTTCACCCATTTTGCCCTTCCCCCAGCCTCTTCCTCTGGCAGCCAGCAATCTATTCTCTGTATCTATGAGCTTGAGGTTTTTTGTTTTTCAAATTCCAAAATTTGGGTAAGTGAGAACATACAGTATTTGTCTTTGACTTATTTCACTAACTCTGATGCCTTCAAGTTTCATTCATATTGTCACAAATGGCAAGATTTCATTTTTTTAATGGCTAAATAGTATTCCAGTGTGGTGCACGTGGGTGTATACACACCCTATCTTTATCCATTCATCCATCAGTGGACACTTAGGTTATTTCCATATCTAGATTATTGTAAATAATGCTGCAGTGAACATTGGTGTGCATATATCTTTTTGAATTAGTGTTTTTATTTTCTCTAGATAAATATCCAGAAATGAAATTGCTGGATCATATGGTAGTTCTATTTTTAATTTTTTGAAGAACCTTTATATTATTTTTCATAGTGGCTACACCAATTTACATTGCCACCAACAGTGCATAAGGGCTTCCTTTTCTCTACATCCTCACTTCCTTATTTATTCTTATTTCTTGTCTTTTTGATAATAGCCATTCGAACAGGTATGAGGTGATATTTCATTGTGGTTTTGATTTGAGTTTCTCTGATTATTAACAAAGTTGAGCATCTTTTATGTACTTGTTGACTGTATGTCTTTGTAAAAATGTCTATCCAGATCCTCTGCCTATTTTTTCAATCGGATGATTTGTTTTTTTGCTATTCAATGGTAGAAGTTCTTTAGATATTTTTAAATTAACCCTTATCAAACATGTGATTTGCAGATATTTTCTTCCATTCAGTAGGTTGCCTTTTCATTTTGTTGATGAAAGATTTGGTTGTGCAGAAGCTTTTTTATAGTCGTACTTGTTTGTTTTTGCTTTTGTTGCCTTTGTTTTTGGAGTCACATCAGAAAACAAACTCAGATCCATCATCACCCATACTGATGTCAAGGAACTTATTGCCTCTTAATTCACAAAACCACCCAGAGGGGTATAGGAAATATTTTAACATTTTACGAAGGAAAAAATTTAAGCCCATAGAGAATTTTTCCCCTCAAGATTAACAGCTAGACAGCAGTATAGCTTGGATTTTAGTCATACCTATTTGACTCCAAAGCCTGTCTTTTTCAGTACAATATAATGCTCCACCAGGCAGGAGAAGGGTCTGAGCAAAGATGTAGAAATTGAAAATTGTAGTGGTGTATTTTACGTAGAAAAGTTTAGTGGAAATTTGGGTAGAAAGTAGGAGATATGGTTGGAGAGGCAGGTTGTGGAGTGTCATATTTCAAACCAAAAACTGTGAGCAGCCTTTATTTTTTTGGCAATGGAGAAACCATTAAGTGTTTTAGCTGAGAGCATGGTCCAGAGCCTAGACCAGGGGCTCTATGTCACCTGGCTGGCCCTAAGAGCTGGCAGTTGCTGGTGCTTCCTGTCAGCCCCAGATACATATTGCAGAACTGCTCACTGGAGCACCTGACTAGCATTTGGTGCCATGCCATTTTGTTTTTGAAGAAAAACAATATGTGTTAGTGCTGAGAGAGCATTTACCTTGGCAGTGGGGTGCAAAGGGAGGTAGTGGCAGTAAGGGATAGACTGGAGAATGAGGAGGTGGTTTGGATGGACGCCAGGCATAGACTGGATGTTGGAGAAACAGCTAATGAAGCAGAAGTGGGTCTCGAAGTACAATCGAGCCACGTGTTCATCAGTCTGCCCGCCACCCTGAGAACCTGGGGAGGTCTGAGGATCATGGCCCCTTCACCAGGGTAATGCCTCTGCCTTACTAAGGCCTGAGTTCAAAAGTTATAAGAGTCCCCAGAGACAGCTGATCTTCCAAACAGTAGCCAGCCATTCATTCCTTCCTCTGTCAATTGGTACAGCTTAGTGTTAGAACCTGTTCATGTTGAAACAATTCCTTTACCCAAACCTCACCTTAGTCTCTTGGGTTTTCACTAAATCTACTTCATTTAAGCAGGTTATTTTACTTAGAAAAATGATTAAGACTAAATGAAGCACAGTGAATAGTAGTTCTCAGACTCCCGTGACAGCACGATCCTCAGAAATCATGATATTTGTGAAAGTCTACAAAATATTGATCAGTTCCGTTTCATTCCTAGTGATAGAGCATACGTTTTGGTGTGTACTGTTTGACATTTTAATTTGTTTATTAATTAAAAATAATAAGTAACATCCAACTTTTGGGTTAGCTGTGATCCTTAGCACAGCACTTGTGACCATGAACACCTGTGCTGTGTCCTATCTGGACCTATGAGTGACTTGACTGGATACCCAGAGGTTTGTAGATGATGAATCAACTTCAAATAACTAATGAACAGAGAAAATATTTTAAAGGTCCTTCCTGCCTTTGATTCTGTATTTTTGTTATTTTTTCTCTTAAAAAATAACATAAAAATAGTACATGCTTATTGTGAAAAACAACACATATAAGGATATAAAGCACATAAAGATATAAAGGGAAAGTATCTCCCTTTCACCTCCAACTCTCTTCTGAGTTTGGTATATATGCTTTTAAATACCTTCAAAGTTTGTGTACGTGTGTGAGTGTGTATACATTTCTCTATATCTTTCTCTCTCCAAAAAAGAATCATACTATCATACTGTCTTCTAACTTGCCCTTTTTTTAACTTACTATATCAAAGACAGCCTTCCATGTTAAATTATAAATTTTTATCTTAATAGTTACCTATTCTTTTTGTATATATTATAATTTTCATAACTAAATCCTTTTGGCAATCTGTTTTTACTATTACAGGCAGTAGACATCTTTATATAGTATAATAAAACTACAGTCCTGTCTAGTTTTATATTCTGAAGTCTTAGAAGTAGAGTTTCTGTGTCTTAAGGAATGGCTTTTTAATATTTTGATATTTATTAATTTGCCCTTGGAACAGGTTTTGCTAGCTTACACCTTACCAGGAGTGTTTGTGAGGCTCTTATGCTCCCAGCTTTGCCAGCAGGGCAGATTATGTAGAAGACAGGCAGGCTTGGCCCCCTTAAGTGGGACCTTGTTTGGTTGTAGTAAAGAGGCTGCTCATGTAATCAACTTCAACAGCTTCTTGCAGGAGCCAAAGTGAATGAATTAACCAAGCACCGCCAGACTGCCCTCCATCTCGCTGCCCAGCAGGACCTGCCCACCATCTGTTCAGTCCTTTTGGAGAATGGAGTGGACTTTGCTGCTGTGGATGAGAATGGAAATAATGGTAATTCAGTCATTTCCCTATGCTCAGTGCTGGATGCCTCAAGCAGTCTCCATTCTCAGGGTAGAGGCACACTGCACCCTTGTGTCTGCTTTCCCTCAGAGAGATTGGCTTTCACAGGAGTAGAGCAGTGACAGGAAATGCTCTGAACTGGGCATCCAACCTACCACTGACCAGGCCATGGGCAACCAACCTCCCAATCTGAATGGTAATCCTTTAGGCTTCTAAAGTGGCTTCTTGTGAAACCATTAAATCTCATCTTTAGATAACTTTCTACTTTGGAAGCAGAAAGCAAAGTCTTATGCAGTTGCATTTATGACTCATTCTTGAAGGGTGGTGAAGACTGGAAAGGATGGTTCTGTGAGTGGACCGTGGTTGCTCTAGCTGAATCTTTTAGAGAGAGGTTTGTGAGGGTGAGGAGGGGCCGAGATTTTTTGCATGTGCTTCTGGGCCTGCGTAGTAAGAGGATTTACTCCACAGCTCTGCATCTCGCAGTCATGCACGGTCGGCTCAACAACATCCGGGTCCTCCTGACAGAGTGCACCGTGGACGCCGAAGCCTTTAATCTACGGTGAGTGTGTACGGCCCAGAACTGGTGGTCAGGTCACTGGTTCCTCATGTTAGCCTCACATGCATGCTACAGAACTGGCCACTAAGGCACACAACTAGCCTTTGGTACCCTGGAATTTTTCTAGTTGAAAAATACTTTTTAGAAAAACTTTTATGACCTATTATGTGTCCTTTGATTTATCCAGCATCACAGAGTTTAGAAAATTCCATCTCTTTTGTGCATGATGGCTGTGGCAGATATATACCTAACTTTTCCAACTTGTTTTATCAGAGGCCAGTCACCACTGCACATTTTGGGACAATATGGCAAAGAAAATGCAGCAGCCATCTTTGATCTCTTCTTAGAGTGCATGCCTGAGTATCCTCTAGATAAACCAGATGCAGAAGGAAGCACGGGTATGTAGTAAGCTGTTTGTATGTCCTGTCTCACTTGTGTTCCTTGCTTCCTAGAAAAACAAGAGCCCAAGCACACATGTCATTATTTAAGGGTATTCAGCCCAGTGCATTTCAATTGGGCTCTATGAAAATCTGTCACAGATCCCTGCTCTGGAATTTGGCAGGGTCTGATTTTAGGCACAAGCACAGATGAAGTGTATCTAGTGTTCCAAAGCTATACCCATGTCCAAATAGGCCTGCGCACCTGTTTGTATTGCCCTCACCTACCTCTTATACAGTCAACTAGGGCTCTACCCAAGTTCCCAAGTCCCAGGAAAGAAATAAAATATAACCACTCACAGATGCTTCAGAAAGAGGAAATGTGCTGCCGTATGTGCTGACATGCTTGGAGAAAGTGGCAAGTTATATATAGATAAGGGCTGGCATCTTATTGAGGGGGCTAATAAATAGGCCTCTCTCATGGTGGTGGTGTACGTACCAAAAATCACTGTTATTTTGTGTAGCTTGCTTGCTTTCTTTCTTTTTTTTTTTTTTGGCATACTTTTACATTTATTTTCTTGCTGAATATTCACAACAACCCTATAAGGTAAGCAGTAAAGATAGTGTGTCCCTGTATTTCGAGTAAGGAAACAAGGATGAAACCCAAATCTCTTTCTTCCCAGCCCAGGGTTCTCTGATATTTTTGCTGCTACTGTATATTCTCATTCATTTGTCCTCATGCCAAACAGAGCCTCCATGGCCTTTGGCAGTTACCAAGGAAAGGAACAAATAGTTTGTCATCAGTTCTTAACCTTGGGAAGAGTTCTTGGCTTTTATACACAAATGTGTTTTTTAAGCTGACAGTGTGTCAGCCCTGGGAGTGAGCTGCTGGAACCAGCACATGCTCTAGTGAGCACTATTTTCTAGAAGCAGGTAAATAGGCAGGCAAGCAGGTGTTCCATGTCCAGGCTTCTGAATTACAAAGAAGACCTAGTGTCACATACCTAGCTCTGTCATATTCTAACGAGTGATTCTGGGTAAATTTTGTAAATTCTCTATGCCTGTTTCCTCATTTGAATAATAACCTTTATCTTGCATCATTTAGAGATTTAAATGGTTTTGTTTTCCAGTGCTGCTTTTAGCATACATGAAGGGGAATGCTAACTTGTGCCGAGCCATCGTCCGATCTGGGGCTCGCCTTGGGGTGAATAATAACCAAGGAGTCAACATTTTCAACTATCAGGTTGCCACCAAGCAACTTCTATTTAGACTGTTAGGTGAGTGGCCCACTTTCTGCTCTTTTAGTGCAAGCACAGTTAGTGTGGATTAACCAGATGTATGGTGATCTTTAAATCTCACAATGACTTGCTTCAAGATCTGAACCAGTAGTTTTCTAGGCACCACATAGGACTTTTTTATGAATGCCATGCAGGGCCTGTGAGCAGTGGTGGTGGTGGGATCACTATTAACAACTCTGTTCAGGGACTCTGCTTTGGGGCCCCTGTCAGTGTCCTACTAGAAATTCATAAGTTCTAGGCAGGTCACCCTTACCATGGCTCTGGGCTGCTGATCTGCACACCTTTCATCCTTCAGTTTATTCAGATTTTCTGCCTCCTTCAGAGTGGCCTTCTGCCTCAGCCCCCACTGACTCTTTCTCTGTGTACCTTTTGTGAAGAGGAATGCTTCACTCTGGATGATTTCATACTCGCTAGTCTTTACTTGTCCTCACTGAGGTAACAGAAAGAATCAGAATGCCTCAAGTGCCTGCATGTCACCGTGCTGTCATCACCAACAGTGAAAAAAGAATGAGGTTATTAGCCCTATGGTATGGTCAGAGAAGTGCACTCAGAAATACTTAGTGGCTGTGTGATCTTGATGTAGGTGACTTGCCCAAGGTCACGAAGCTGGTTTGTAGTGGAGCCAGCACTAAACCACACTGTTTCTATGATATCTGGTCTACTTTTTGCCATGTACTTGGTCGTCAGCCTTTTAAGGGCTCAGAATAGGATTCCATCACAGTGCCAGTGTATAAGAGCTCAGTAATGATGGATTCGTGATCTGTCTCCTCCCTGTGAGCTCACTCTGCTGTGTATAGAGCACTCAGAAAAGTGCCTGGCATATAGTTAGTGTTCAGTAAATAAATACTAGTGATTATTGCTATTATCTATAGTGATAACTCCCAACCTAAATACCCCACAACTTCTGCAAACTCAAAACTGAACTCCTCATCTGCTTTGGTTCTTTCTCTTCTCTGCTGGCCGTCTCACCATAGACCCAGTTACTCCACCTAGAAACTGGGAGTCACCTTTGTTTCCTTCCTGCTTCCTGCCTCCCTCTCACACCCTGCACTTCTGTTCACTCACCAACACTTACAGATTCTGCCTCATCAATTTTTCTTGTTTTAGTTCCTTCTTCCCTTTACCATTTGACCCCTACCAGTCTTTGTAGCTGTTGGTCTGCTCTGTTACACTCCAGCCATCCCTGACTGCATGTATTTCCCTCACAGACACTGTACTCTTATACTACCTTGAACACCCATTTCCTTCTCCCTCAGTCTGCCTGGCAAATGCTGGTTCTCCATATTCCCTTCTGTGAATGTTTCCCTGACCCGGTTAGAATGTATTGCTTCTTCATCCCTCATGTCACTATGCAATGTGTTGCTTTATTTACTGGTCTGTTTCCTTGCTCCTTCTGAAGCTCCAAGTCTTGCCTAGCGCAGTCACTGTCTGACAGAAACTAGTCTTTTCCTGCCTGCGTTACAGATATGCTGTCCAAGGAGCCTCCATGGTGTGATGGCTCCAACTGCTATGAGTGCACTGCCAAGTTTGGAGTCACAACTCGCAAACATCACTGGTAAGACTCCACCCCCATCACTTGCCAGAGGAGCGAGGGGACTCGTGCTGATGTTATCGCTTCTACCCTTTTCCATGATAAGCCATGATCTTACCAGGGTCCTACACTGTCCTGGGCAAAATTTGACCAAATGGTGTGATGAGATGACAGGGCTCTGCACATCCATAATGGTGTAGGGCAAAGGGAGAACTTTTTTTGTTGGGGTTCCCAGGTAGCCCCAGGCTTTCTGTTTGCAGCAAAGCTGAGCTGAGGTCCTGCCCTCCCAGCAAGTGTGCTTCCTGGCCTGAGCACAGGCTGCTCTGCCAAGAACTGGGGAGCCATTCCTATGAAAATAAGATTGTTCTTTGGCTATCGCTGAGCCTCTCTCGAACTTTAAAGAAAGAGCCTTCTCTAGAATTACTTTAACTATTGGCTAGAATTTTGTTTTAGTGGACTAAAAATTATGCATGCTTTGGTAACTTGGCTGACAAGGGGGAGACTGAACACAGAGTACTGGTCATGAGCTTGCCTTATCTTCTCAGGGTGCTACTGTGGCTATCCCCGTGCCAGGAAGCAGTCTGCTCTTCAGTACTCCTCTCATACTTCTTTCTTTGCTTCTACAGTCGTCACTGCGGACGTCTTCTTTGCCATAAATGCTCGACCAAGGAGATTCCCATTATAAAGTTTGATCTGAACAAGCCTGTGCGAGTTTGCAACATTTGCTTTGATGTACTGACTTTGGGTGGGGTCTCTTAGCCCCCAGGAAGGTCGAGGTCACCTCCCCAGCAGCTGCTCTGCTCACCAGCCTGACTCCACCCAGAGCAGGAGCTCGCAGTCGTCTTCCTGCGGCAGTAGACTGGAACAAACAAGGACCATGTTGTGATAGATTCCATTTCAAATGATTCTGTATGATTGTTGGTGTGTCAGATTGTGATTGAATTCACTAGATGTCTAAGTAATCGGACCAGGCCATTTAACCTAAGTGGCAAATGTGTAATAGGAATTAGACCCATTCTGCTAGCAACATAGAAGAACACTTCGAAAACCATTTTCTCTTCCAGTAGCTTAGTGTTCATCTCAGAGCATTCATGAAAACTTCCTGCCTGGGCAGACTTACTAGGCAAGAGCCTAATAGTACAAAGCTGGTGTCTGGCTGCTCCACGAGAGCCTGCTTTACTCTAGGGTGAGTGGCTGTGGATTTTTCTGCACAGTGTTTTCGTAAAGATTATAGGATCCTCTTGCCCTCACGTCTTTTTTTTTTTTTTTTTTTTTTTTAAAGCTAAGCTGTAATTTTAGTGAGCTACCCCTTTAAAAAAGGTGAAGTCTTTCTAAACAGGGTTCAAAGATGAGAGCTGAAAAATCGTGGCCTTAACAACTGAAAGCTTTACCAGTATTCATGCTACTCAGGTGTCAGGTGTGCACTTTGGCAGCTTGACACCTCCTAGGTCTCCTCCTCTCATCTTGCTATGTCCTGTCTGTGGAGTCCTCAGTCACTCTGCCCCTAGGGAGTGGTGGAGGAAATGCACTTTGATTGTGCTGCACTTTTTATATAGCTGCATTATTGGCAATTCCAATTTAAAAATCCATATTCAAAAATACCCTCACACATTCATGCATCAGTGATTCTAATGATCAACTTTGGACCTCAGCTCACACTAAGTCTTAAAAGAAAAACTCCTGCAGAATGTCATTTGGAGCAAGAGAGTTAGTTACACAGGCCAAGTGATGAGAAGGGGAATCTTCAGCCTCAGGCTGGCAGGTCCCATCTCCTTGACATGAATACTTCCTGTTGAAACCTTTCCTAGTTATGCTGTGAGTGCTGTTGGTCCCAGGTTCCAGGTCCAGTTCTGTGTGGCTTGCCCTGCCCTATAAGAGCCGACGGCCCTGGCCAAGCGTGTGTAACCCAGTATTGGAAGGCTCTGGTTTGTATGCTGAACAAGGCCCCCAGAGCTTATTGGGCTTTAGTCGCTGCTAGTACATATATTAACCCTGAGGTGTTAAACTTCTTTTCTTTTGAAGGTTTGGCCAGTTTTTTTAAAAAATGAATATATAAACTTTTACCACTGCTTAAGCAAAAAAAAAAACTGAGATGAACAATATGTGTTGTACAGTTAACACTCAGAGATTAACAATCTTAATCATATATGATTTTTTTCAGACTTTTAATTACCACTACATTTTTTTTCCATTAATGAAGTATGGATATATGTGTAAAAGGGACTAAATTTTTTTTTGCAACAGCCTGTTTTTTTTTGTTGTTTGTTTGTTTTGGATAGTGGTATGTCCTCTATGTTGCTGTAGATTTATATATTATGTTGCCTAAATATGTTTGTAAAATGAACTGATAATCCAGAGTGCTACTTGTTTTTTTAATATTTCTGTGATTTATAAGATATATCTGCTTTCTATGTTAATATGAGCTCGTGCACAATGTTTAAAAGAAAAAATGAACTAGAAGAGTTGGGGAACTAAAAGTCTGTGACATAGTTGACATAGAATTTTTATAGAAAAACGAGTTTTGGCAAACACTTGACCATGTGAGGCATGTGGTCAGTTTCCATTTTCTGTTGCCTGAAAAGGGCCACGAAGAAATAGGGCTTAGTTAGTTGATTCTTTAATTAGAAAGTAAGATGATCATGCTTCAGTATGAGTTGAGGTGGTCAGTACTTTTATCCTTGTTCTTTTAACATTCATGGCGGAGAGAGGAGGATGGGAATTCAATCAGGGATAAGGCTGATTATCTTTCCCCTGCCCTGCCATACCAATTTCAACAACAGTCTTGCCTCTAATTACACTTAAAATCATGTTGAAAATATGCTGAGTCACATTTCTGTTTCTTTACAGAGTCCAGAGATACCTATAGTACTGAGTAGCCATGGGTTAGGGGAACATTTGTGAGTTCTGCATTGGCTTCAGGGTGCGTTCTTGTAGATCTAGAAAAAGCACTTTGTGATGGTCTTAGGAAATCTCCCTGACCATGCTGATGCTTCCTAAGACATACTCAACAGGTTCCTTGAGTGTTGGCTGCCCTGTTGGGTCCGCCCCATACACTGCCCTGGCTGGGACTTTATACACTCAGTCCCCTTTGTGCTCTCCAAGCTTATAAGACTTGACTACAGAACTGCTTAGCCGTTCTTGTTAAATTTTAATCCATAGCTTAAATACTAGGAGCAAAACTCAATTTTATTCATTCAGAAAGTTGCCAATTGTGAATGGGTAGAACAGGAAGAATAAACTTTACTGAAAATATAATTTGCTGCATCAGTCAACATTGTTATGCTGAATTAGCTTTTTAACTGCCTCTTGCTCATCACCAGATTTATTATATAGTCTATTCTTAAGTTTTTTTTAAAGACGAAGGTACAAACCATGTGCTATATGTAAATCAAATGGCTAAAACTAACTTGCTATGATCCTCTAACAAGAATTTCCCACAAACTTAAGTGCCTACACGTAGGACTTTTTAATTTTCAGTTATCCTTTTAGTGATGTCTCAATGATGTGTTAGAACATGTGTTCCATTTGGAGTTTGTTGCCTGTGCACTGTCAACCCCAATTACCAGTTTAGTTGAGGCTGGATTAGATTGCTCAATTCACCTGCCATATTCTCTCCAGGAGTGGGGTCCCTGTGACCATTAGTCCTCTACCTCAGAGCCCTGAGTCATTTCCGATCATCCTGTTCAGCTTCCTCACTCTTCTCCCTGAATGGGGTGCCTGCATGGAGCTCAGTGTGCCTGTGGGTTCACCACCATTCCCAATTCATGCCTCGCCCCCCAATGTATTGAAGGGTGTTGTGCTAATCTTGACCGTAGGCATGAAATGGAGGGAAAGTCTTAGGAGGGGGAGAACCTTGATCTCCATTTAGGTTTCTTTAATCTAGAGAAAAAGAATACTGTTGAATTATGTAATGCTTAGACTTGAAAGGCAAACTAACTACCCAGGTGACAATAGCCTGAGCAAGTAAATGTAACTTCCATGAACAGACCCACTCGGAGCTTGCAGGTTGAGACTGAAGGAGCTCCTGAAACAAGCTTTCTTCCAGGACCTGGGATTGTTTCTCCCAGGACAAACTGCAGAAGATCTGGGCATAGGGCTGCAAACCTAGTCCCTCCTAATCTGAAACACCGAAGCACCCCAACCTTAGCTGGGGAGAGGAGGAAGCAGAGGGGAAACAACTTTGTAAAGAGGTTTGGAAGCCACATTCTCACTTTGTGGAAATAATTTTGTAAGGAGCTGATTGACAAGATATAAACTAAACACATTAAATTCCCAGAAGTATCATAGATGCCTTAAAGACTTTATTTGGAAGATCATTGCCTATATGGTTCCTTTTTGTTTGTGTCATAAGTGATATATTAACCTGTTACAACTGACAACACTGGTTTTCTATAGCTAGGAAGTCTCAGATTGGCAGACTGCCCAATTTAATGACTTGTTCTTTTTTGGCAGATGTATAGAGCTGGCTGTTACCATGACATACCTGTGTGATACCAACGGAAAGGGCAGTAGCTGGGTAGAAACTGCAGGCACACATTCGGGTTGATCACCTTGGCTTTCAGGCCATTTGGGGTGGTGCTCAGTGTTGGATGATGGCATCATATAGGACCATGGCACTTATCAGCATTGTTTCTTTGGAGTCCGTGTAATGGAATGTATTTTTCAAATATTGATATTTGCATTTTCTGTAACAATTCCTTTTAATAAAATAAGGTAAAATTGTGCATTTAAACTGGAAACTTTAATAAGACATTTGTAGTTATTTTTAATGCAGAAATACCAATAAGCATTAAAAACAAACAAACAGATTTTTTTAACTCCTGACGTGAGTAAATTTCTTTAACAGCTACCCTCTAGGAAAGTTTGAATTTCGAGCACTTTTCAGAAACACATTGTTGACAGTAGCCAAAAAGTAGCTATTTTAGGCATAATGACCACCTGCCTGGATTTACTATGCTCTTGGCCCAGACTTCAGCCCATGGCAATGTGTATGACCACAGCTGCACAGTCTCAGTCACCTGACCCCGCTGAGGCTCTCCAAAGGACCCTGGAAATTCCCTGACTCCATTATTTAGGAGAAACTCAAGAGATTCCACCCATGATGAGGTTTCTGCTGGTTGCAATCTGAAGGGAGGACTGACTGGTCCTGTTAGGTTTCAAAGAATACTAAGGAAGGTTTAGGGAGTTGCACATTAAAATCTAGTGACCCATAAAGCCCTATACAAATCTCGTAGCTCACCTGGCCCTCACTTTCTTGAACTAATGTATTCTCTTTCTTCACCTGTCTTCCATTTTGTTTACCCCGTAGTTCAGACCTGCCGTGGTGATATACCATTTTCTGGTGATATGTCATAATATGTGAGTATAAACAGGAACCAGGCACGCATCGACTTTCACATATATTTGCCCAACCAGGGAAGAGCACTGGGTTTTCTGCTTTATCATTGATTAGCCAAAATTAATGGGCAAGTTTCATAATTTCTGTGCTTTAGTTCCTGGATCTATAAAATGGAAATGACCACGGTCTTTCTTAGCTCACAGGGGTGCCCTTAGGAAGGTGATCAGTAATATGTCCTTCCTCTCATGTAAGTATACAGATTCTGCCGTGCACATCGAGAGTCCCCTCCAGTGAGGGCTGATAAGAGCAATGTCTGATGCCTACTTGCAGGAATCTGGGGGCTGTGGTAGGTGGTGACCTTGAGGGTGGGGGGTTCAGCCCAGGGTCATCCTCTTCTGAGCAGCACTGCAGACTTCTGAATAGACACAGCCCCAGCCTGTCCATAGGGGTCTTTCTATCAGGTCACAGCTTGTCCTGGAGCTAAGCAAGCAAGGGATAGAGGTGAAGGTTTGATACAGTTCCCTTTGTTGTACAGTCAGGCAGTGGCTGAGCTCTGACCAAAAATTCCTGGGCTCTTCACTCTTAGTTCTGTGTCTATTGGAAAACTGGAATCTCAGAATTCAAAGGCAGAGGTTACAATTTCCTTCAGCATGTTGGAGGGCAGCTGCCCAGCCTTTGCTTTAACACTGCTCACTGGTGTGGCAAAGGGAACAGACTTGGGTAAAAAAACTCAGCTTTGTCAAATGATGGCTGCTGTAACCATCATTAGAAGAAAGTGGGGGGCAGTGGGATATTTATGCCCCTTTTCTGGACTATAAAATGAGGACCTCTCAAGACTGGCATAGAAGTTAAATGAGAACAGATAAAGCTCCCTGCCCAGTAGTTGCTCAACACATGTCTTCTCCATTTCCCTCTGCCAGCAAGTCTTAATTGCCAAAGCTGAACTTTCTGTGGCTTTCAACAGAGAGGGACTGCCTGCCTCCCACATGGTTTTGCCTAAGGCCACCTCTATTGGAGAGAGAAACAAGAGGCATTTCTCCAGTAACCACTCACTTTCTATGGCTGAGCCCTTGGGACCATTAAAATGACAACCTATTCTTGCTGCATCCCTTAAGAGTCACCCACTGCCCCTTTGTGAGGAGGCTCTTTTCTGTAAAGTAAGTGTTTGGTGTCAAAGAGAAAATGAATTCTCAGCAAGGAAGTGAGCAGCCTGCTGAGGCTGACCCAGTGTGTTTTGCACTGGGAGCTAGGGGTCTTCATCCGGTAGAGGTTAGGCACCTTCTAGGTGCCTCCCAAGTCCACATTTGGCTGGGAGGACTCAAGTTGCCTTATTTTGCTGCTCCTTCAGTTTGTTCTTGGAAATGTCTGAACATCTCTGGACTGGCCCCCACACTGTTGCTGCATTGCTATCCCAAGAGTGGCTTCTGGTTGCTCTAACCAGGGGTTCACTCCATCATACTGTAAGCTCCTTGAGGTCAAGAGCCTTGCTTTGCTCCCATCCCCAACCCCATGGCACATAGGTACTTGGTAAATATTTGTTGAATAAGGAGGACCAGAACAGTGGTAGTGACTAGTTCCTGGTTAGCCTAGAGTTGGGAGCTGTGTCCAGTTACCAGGGATACCTCAGGCACTGAGCCCAAGGGCTGTGTGGAACTCAGAGCAAGGTCCTAATCTCAGCTCTCCTCTTTGCTCCTGCTCCAGAGAGGGCAGAGACATACCAAAATATGGAGAAGTGAAAATTGCACTGAATCAGGACCAGAACCTTGAGTTCTAGGTTCAGCCCCATTGCTCTGGTGCCCTAATTAAGTTCTTCAGGCCTTGGCTGCCTCACCACCAAAATAAAAGCTAACTGCACATCATTTCTCATGTGCTAGGTATTATAGATTTAGGGGTACAAAACTGAGTAACCATTGGTCCCTGTTCTCAAAGTCTGAAGTCCAGTGCAAGAGGCCATTAGAAACCCATGGTTACAGAACACTGATATTTGTTATTTGAGGAGTGAACACAAGGAATCTGTGTTACGGGAACCTAGGGGAAAATCCAACTGGTGGGCCAGTGGTTAATGAAGGCTCCCAAGAGATGCTGATTAAGAAGAGGTGTACAAATTGAGCGAAAGAAGAGGTATCATTCCAGGCAGAAGAGACAGCCTGGGCGAAGGCATGGTAGGCATAATGCAGTGAGGTGGAGGCTGGAGGGAATGGTGTATGTGGGAGGTGGAGGGATACAGAGGCTGACAGGAGACAGACTATAGAAGGGCCTTATGTGCCATGCTGCTGAAGAGTTAGCACTTGATCCTTAGAGATATGGGGAACCACTGGAGAGGAAATGCCCATCATCGAGAAGGATGACTCGTAGTGGTGTGGAGGGTGGACTGGAGGGAGGGAGTGTGGTTAGACTCCTGCAGTAAACCAGGTGAGAGATGATAGCCTAAACCAGAGGAGGAGTGCTGGGAATAGGTAAGAGGGAATGGAGAGAACTGAGGAGGTGGAGTTGCCAGGACTTGGAGATGGGTTGGGAGGAGGGGAACAGGAGAGGAAGGAGTTGTGGATGATCATCAGGATTCTTCATATAGTATGACTGGGTGTATACAGATGGTGATGGGAACCATCACTAGGGGGACCTAGAAGAATAAGACGGAGAAGATGAAGATCGAATGCCAGAAATGAGGTACCTACAGAAATGCTCAGGAAAGCCGCCTGGACTAGATACATATTTGGCAGTTTAAGTGGCAGCTGAAGTAGGAGTGAGAAGAGCTAGTGGGAAGGGGTTTATGGAGGAGAGGCTTTCAAGGAATGTGGCCATGGGATTTGCCAATACAGAATTTATCCTGTTCAGCAGAGAAGAGCAGAAGTAAGGTGAATGTGGGCTGAGGAGTAAAGATAGTACATGTGGCTTCTTCAAAAAACTTATCTGGGACAGGCAATAGATATGGTGCTACAAAAGAATGTGGTATTGAGGGGAGAGTGTTTTATAATGTGAGGGAAGTGACCTGTTTAATGTATACTTCGGAGGAGGAGCCAGGAGCAGGGAGAGGTTAAAGGTTCAGGAAGAGTAGGTGAGGACGATCCTGGGGTGGCAAAAGGAGTCAGGAGCAGAGTCCAGGTGTAAACAGCTGTGGCCACAAGAGCAGTGGACCATGACTGCTGAAGGGGAAAGAGCCTCCATTTTCTAGTCAGTGAATCTGGAAAGCTATTTAGTGAGATTAATGATAAAAGAGAGAGAAAGGAAGAAGGATAGGGAATGTTTAGAATAAGAGTTGAGGGGATTGGGAAAGGAGTTGAAGTGAAGGCTCAGATGAGGAGAGGCTGTGAATCTGTAAGAGTTCGGCTTCATTTCCTTATCTGTAAAGTAGGAACACTCCTTGCCCTCATCTACTTAAGAATCCAAGAGGTAATAGGTATGAAATTTGTCAAGTGTAGATTACAGATGACCTGGGACACACAACCCACTGGAAAAGCTGCAAGCCGGGCCACCATTAAGTTTAGGCTGTTGCAGGTGTGTCCAAACTTGGATGTTGTGCTAACCAGTAACCTTGTTAGAGATGTGAAACCACCTTTTGCTCAAAATGCTGACTTCTCCCTTTGAAAACACCACACTTAATTTTAAGTGTTTAAAAGAGAAACAATACTCTTAAATTGCTGCCTTGTTCAGAGGCATCTGGATTTGCCACACCCATATAAGCAAAAGCTTTCCTAATTTCCAAAATTAACTCTTTCCTATTTTATTATCACCTCTCATTGTATTGGCCCAGCTCAAATCAACTCAGTGTGGCTTTTGGTTGTAAATTCAAGTTCATCTTAGGGTAGAGGTCTTAAAGGTTATAAAAATCAGGGGTCACAAGTTTAGCCAGTGAGGAGCTTGAAACAGAATTATATTGATGCTGTTAATATTTTTGTCTTTTCTAGATGTGCCTGCTTGTTTGAGTTGTAAGGAAATGATGTAGTCCCTTTTTGCCAGTGCCCCCAACTGGGTTGGGGGTTATAGGTAGGGTCCAGGCTGGCAGCTGATCTGGGCAGCTGGGAGTCTGCAGGAAGGAAGCTATTAGAGTTCAGAGCCCTTTGCTTGTCTGTCCAATTAGTTTTGAGTTGGTCATGTTTGTGCCCATTAATATCTGAGGGCTCTGAAAGAGGATGGCACGTAGATTGAGGGGAATAGTGGCAAAAACAGGCTGGCCAATACTGGGCGAGTTGCCAAGCTCTGGCCTCAGTCATCAGAATGCTGAACCCATGGTGAGGGAGCATGGGTCACCTCTGCAGAAGCCAGAGTCCTTCTAGGCTCTCTTGCTTGATGTCAGGAGCCATCTTAGGACACATGAGTGAAGGGCCTGTTAGGGTTCTAGGCAGGATTCTCTGTGGGTTATCAACATATAGGGTACCAGCTTAGAGTGGGAAGGAGCATGTGCTGGCCAGGGGTGGGCAGCCTGTGTAGTCTCCCAAGTTGGGGTGGTCCAAGTCCCCACGATTGCTGTGTGTAGGGTTGTCCAGAGTCTGGTCACTAGGGGGGCCAGTTGTTCTCACACACACGCAGTGGGGCTCCTTGGCTCCTGCCTTATACAGCTTCCTGGGGACGCCAATCCAGTCTCTGCTCACACCTCCACTGAAGGTAGAAGGAAAGAGGACTTCTTAAAAGCATGAACTTGTGAATCTCTCTGGGAAGGGAAGAGAAGGAAGCAGCGAGCCGGGCCTGGTGAAAAGTAGAAGCCATTCCACTTCCTGTCTTGGCACTTTCCCAAGGCGGTGGTCTGCAGTGTCCACTCCTGAATCTCATGCTCTCTCCTACCTTCCTATTGTTCTTTCCATGCTCCCCTGGCCCTTCTCTGTGCCTTCTCGGGAGGCAGCACTCTCTGCACTGGTGATAACACCTGTGAAAGGCTTTCCCCCAACGGCCTGTGAGCTTCTCAAAAGCAGTATCTGGCTCTGATTCTCTTCTCCCTCACTACATCCTAGCACTGGGCTGTGTCTTGATCTTAGGGTCTTAGGTACTTGGGTAGGGGTGGGCAATTGAAGCAAGGCCTGATGGTTAGCCTTCTTAGGAGGCCCTTGGCTTTCCTGCCCCTTGCACGGGTCCAGTCCTTGGTGCCACCCAGCCCAACACAGGCTAACCAACCTCCTATCCTGGGCAGAGGGACCTAACTCACCTTAGGGTACTGAGTTCAGTCTCCCATGGACTCACAAGCCTTGCAAAAGGAAAATGAGATTCTGTTGTCAGTGGTCCTTACTCCACACCCACTCCCTGCCTTCAGGACCTGTTTCTCCCAGTCTAAAGGGAGATGCATACATGCGAGTAAAAAACAAATTAGGCTGGGGCATAGAGATAGGGCCAGATTCCTTGGTGTGAGTCTGGAAGAGCTTTATGGGGAAGACAGACCCTATGCAACTCAGTAATGAAAGCAAGAAGGGGTTACAAAGACAGAGATGGGGCTGTGGGGAGGGAGAGAGAGGTAGGCTCTCCAAATGAGCAAAGTCAAGCATTTAAATGCACACAGGCCTCCGAGTCCCTCCTGTGGAGGACCAGTACTCTCTGAGGCCACCTGCATTCAGACTTGTGACTCAGAAGGGCTCACCTTTGTCCTAGCTCTTTTCCGTAAAGTGGGCAGGCTGGGTTCTCATAGCCCCCCTCTTTCTGGAGACATAACACTGGAGAAGTATATCTTCAAAACTGGTGGCCGAGAGAGAAGGGGCTCTCCTTCCTGCTACCTTCACCTCTGTGCCCCTGAATTAAGGTGGAGGAAATGTCTAACAGATACAGTGGCTGGGCCTAGAGAAAGCTGGTGGCTTTGGCTGTTAGTTCTCATCCACACAAGGAATCAGTCTCAAGGAGAGCAAAAAGGTAAATATGGCCTCTCCCTGAGGAAGAGGGTGGATCTACACCACTTAGCACTCACAGAAGTGGCTCTTCTCGCATAAGCAATAGCGAGAAGAGCCCCTCCTTAGTGAGAACAGAGTTCTTACTTTGAGGCCTTTGAGGCTGGGGGGTTTGTCCCGTTTCTGCCTTCCTTTTCCTCCTTATCACAGTAAAGGAGATTTGAGAGACTCGAACTGCATTTGAATCTGGGCTAGCCTGATTATAACAGCAGGAAAAAATTTTTTCTCCAGCTTCCCCAAACCAATCTGGAATAATCCCCATGGCATTTATCTAAATCTGGCTCACCTCACTTTCTTATTACAGAAAAGACGTTTCCATCTAGCTTGTACTTCTTGGAATTACTCAGAATTTGCAGTATTTTTAAGACAGCACTTCAGGGTATCACTGCAGGTGGCCATGCCCACCTCCTCATTCCTGTCTCCTATAGACAGAAATGATTTGCACTGACAAATAGGAAATGGAAGCCCTCAGATGGATGAACAGGCCAAAGCAAGCAAGAAATAGTACTTGTGCCTTCTTGTTCCCAGGCCAGGGGTTCTTTAGCAGGGTCTTTGAGGACTTAAAAAAAGAGTAGGGGGCGGGAAGGATGCCCAGGTCTAAACCCTAAATCCAGTTGTCTGGAGTGAGGTCCCACTATTGGGAATTTTTTAAATTGCCCAGGAGATTCTAACATGTAGCAGAAATTGAGAATCACTATCCCAGAGCACACGTTCTTTTGAAAAAGTTCCCCCGGGTTAACAATTAACTTATAGTTTCATTGAACAACAAAGACAGAATGACCTAGAAGTTAGATTTGGGAGAGAAGCAGAAAGGAGCAGAAAAGAAGCCTGCTTACCTCTTTTGGGAACACCAGAACCTGCTGCCCCTGGTTGAGCTCCATTCAGCGTTGCATGGTGGAAATTTCTGCTTCTCTTTCAGTTCCTGTTTATTTTCCTCCAAGCCTTTGGTGATCATGGCTTCTACCTGGGTCAGTTCTGGCGTAGGTAGCCCATCTTCTCCGTAGAACCTTCCTATCACTCTTCCTGTGGTGACAGGAAAGCTGATGTCAGAGTAACAGTGGGAGGAAGGCATGAACAGATGCTTAGTTTTTCAAGCGGTAGATGTGAAAAAAGCCCTCCAACCATTCCAGTTTATAGTGGTTGCGAAGCAATCTTGTGTTTAGTGTCTAACATTTCTGTAGGACATGGTTAGGTGTCTTCCTATTTAACAGGTGAATTCCCCCATGTCTCACCAGTAAGTAACAAATGCAGTATCCCACAACTGGCTTTAACAAATGTTTGATTAGCATAATTTCCACCTGGGAGACAATTCATTCAGGATAGACACAGGCTAATGTTTGTCTTCTTAGAGGACAAAATAAAACTGCACACACACTTAGGCTTCAAGCCTTCCCGACTGTGAGCTAAAGCTGGATGCCTGGAACACAGTGAGACAGGGAGGCTGCCCTCCTAGAGCTCGTTGTTCAAGGGTGGCACACACAATCACTGGCTTTGGGGCCACAGAAGCCAAAGCAAGTAGCCGGGCAATCATTTCCCAAGATTAAGAGTGAGGGAAACAGGTGCCCCAGCCATTTTCTTCTGGGACTCACTGCCACACTAACCACAAGAGTTTTGAGTATAATCCCCAAAGAATTCTATCTAGTCCCTTGAAAAAACTGCAAGGAAAATAAATCAAATCTTTGGAAATGATCTGTGAAATACCTACCAACAAATTCATAATTCTTCTCATAGAATGACAGCCAATTCTGAAGTGTCAGCATCTCAGAAAATGACAAGTCAGATACATCATCCACAAGGCCTGCTTCAGAATAGTCCCCAGTCACAAACGCTCTGGATGCGTCTCGGCCTGCAGGACAGATGTTTTCAGTAGATTAACTTATAAATTACTGACACCGTATCAACTCAAGAATCTATTTTCTGAGAAACATCCGAAAACCTCCACTCTTCACCCCCAAGCAAAGCTGATCCCCACTCCTTTCTCATAGACACTCCTGGATCTTGGACATACATTTTGGCATTTAATTACTTTCAGCAACATTTAACCCAGCTGACTACATCCCTTGGCTTTCATGACACTACACTCCTGGTTTTCCTTCTACTCTACAGCTCATTGTCTACCAGCCTCATGGATCAATTCTTGTCCTTCACCTCTGCTCCCTCCACACTCCCCACCTGACAATCTCATCTACTCCCATGGTTTCAAATACCATCTCTATGGCAAAGATTGCCAAATTTGTATCTTTAGCTCAGATTTCTCTTGCGCTCCTGGCTGTATATCCAATTCTCTACTCAAAATCACTCACATGTCTTACAGACATAAGTTCAAAATGTCCACACTGAACTAATGGTCATCAGCATCAACCTCAGGAAACCTGCATCTATTCTAATACTCCCTAACTCAGTAAATATCAATCAGTTGTTCAATCCAGAAATGCAGTCCTTGACATCTCCTTCATCCTTTACATCCAATCAGTCCCCAAGTCCTATAATTTTTTCCTAAATAGTTCTTGTATCAGTCCACCTTTCTCCATCTACCACTAAGCAAGCCCAGGCTATCATCATTTCTCATCTGAACTACTATAATAAACCCCTAGTAGTTCTCCCTACATTCAATCTTTTCCTGCTAATCTGTTTTCCATACAACTGATGTTTTAAACACAAATTGATCATGTCATTCTCTTGCTTGAAAATTCTCGGTGGCTTCCTTTTGCTCTATGATAATGTTCAGATTCCTTAACATGCCATCCAGGTCCCTGCACCAGCTGCCGCCGACCTTGCCTTGCCATTGTGCTCTCTTCCTCTCCCTCCTCCTCCTAGGTTAGGGCCTCTGGTAACACCAGTATGTCTTCCTTTTTAACACTCGTCACATAAATAATTCATTAATTGTTTATGTGATGACTAATATTTTTGTATTTTCACAAATTTTTTATCAGGGAAACACCACATTCCTTTAGTTTTGGTTACTCAGCATCTGATAGTACCTTTAGTAAATTCTCAGTAAATATTACTGAATGAAATCAATATAGTCAATTGATTTTCAGTAAGGGTTCCAGGATAATTCAAAAAGGGAAAGAACAGTCTTTTCTACAAATGGTGCTTGGACAACTGAATAGCCAAATGCAAAAGAATTAAATTAGATCCTTTCCTCACACTATATAAAAAATTAACACAAAATAGATCAACGACCTCAATGTATTAACTAAAACTATAAAACTCTTAGAAGGAAACATAGATGTCTTTGTGACCTTGGATTAGGCAATAGTTTATTAGATAAGACGCCAAAATCACAAGCAATCAAAGGAAAAATAAATGAGATTTTATCGAATTTAAAAATGTGTGCTCTAAAGGATAATATCAAAAAAATGAAAAGACGATCTACAGAATGGGAGAAAATATTTGCAAATCATATATATATATGATATAGCTCTGGTATCCAGAATATATAAAGAACTCTCACAACTCAACAATAAAATGATAAATAACCCAATTAAAAAATGGACAAAGGATTTGAATAGACATTTCTCCAAGGAAAATATACAAATGATCAACAAGCACATGAAAAAAATATCAACATCGTCAGTTATTAGGGAAATGAAAATCAAAACCACAATGAGATACCGTTTCAAACCCACTAAAATGGCTATAATCAGACAAAAAAGAGACAATAACAAGTTAAATGAGGATGTAGAGAAATTGGAACTCTAATACATTGATGATGAAACTGTACAATTGTGCAGCCACTTTAGAAAACAATTTGGCAGTTTTTCAAAAAGTTAAACATAAGGTTACCATATGACCCAGCAATTCCACTTCTAGGTAAATACCCGAGAACTGACAACATGTTCATAGAAGCATTATTCATAATAGACAAAAGTGGAAACAACTCAAATTCTAACAAATGATGAATAAAAAATGTGGTAAACCTACACAATGGAAAATTATTTGGTAATAAAAAGGAATGGAGTAGTGATACATGCTGATACACCATGGATGAACCTTGAAAACATTATGCTAAGTGAAAGAAGCCTGTCACAAAAGACCGCATGTGTGATTCTCTCAGAACAAGCAAATTGTTAGAGACAGAAAGTAGATACTAGTTGTCAGGGGCTGGAGTGAGGTAGGAGAGTATGGAGAGTAATTGTTAATGGATATGGGGTTTCTTTTTGTGGGGGTGATAAAAAATGTTCTGGAATTAGATAGTGGTGATATTTGCACAATTTTCTGACTACTTTTAAAACCACTGAATTATACATATTAAAAGGGTGGATTTTTAATTATGTGAATTATATCTTAATAAAATGATTAAAATATTGAGTAGACGAATGAATCAATAAATCTTCCCTACTAGACTGAGTGGTGGGGCACATGGTCATAATCTTTGATTTCCCAGCATCTGGCACAAGGCAGGCTACATAGTAGTGGTCAATAAATGGATGTTGAATGAATAGTAGGCATAAAGAAACTCAGACAGTGGAGCATACTGCAAAAGAAAAATCACCCCAGAAATGGAGGGTTTTATGCTCACACTTGTGCATATAGCTATACCCATGGCAGGATAAGTTTCCTAAAAAGTGCCCTCACCTGGCAGGTAAATAAAACCCTTGATTCCAGTCCCAGTTCTACTTGTAACTCACTGTGTAGCTTTTGATAAGTCTCTTCTCTAGCTGGACAGCAGAATAAAATAGGGACAGCAGAATAAACTTCATTTGACAAATGTTAAGGCCTAACATATGGACGGTTTTGTTCTAAGTATTGAAGTAAAGGTGACCAGACACCTTCCCTGCATTCTAACCTCATAATCTTTTTAAAGAAAGGGAGACAAGTACATCTGTACTTGTTTGTACTAGAAGCAAGAACTACTCAAACCAAATGTACTATTTTTTAGGGAAAATTTCGGGAGGGGAGGAAACTCAGTATTGAAATCAGTAGGGAAACTCTGAGAACAGAGATGGGGTCTCATTCATCCCCGTGCCCTGAGAGCCACGCAGTGTGGCACAAAGCAGGTATCCATTGAGAGTTTCTGCGGGTAGGTAATGGGTAACTAACAAGAGGCAGGAAATGTGTTTCTCGAACCTAAGTCAGGAAGAAGGATTGGGGAACGATAGGGAGGGTAAAGGCTGGTAACTGCTTGCCGTCGTCCCGCCCAAGTCAGAGCAGAGGTTGGTGCAGGTGAGCCCGGCCTCTACGCTAGTCTAATGAACATGGGGAGGAAAAAAGCAGATGAATGGATGAACGAACGAACGAACAACGTGCAGCCCGCTACCGGCCCTCGTTGGAGCAGGTAAGGGCGTGAGCCGCCTCGCTAATACCTGCGAAGCCGCTATAGTGAGCCCCAGGCTCGTAATGCCGCCGGCCGGAGGACACATCATAGATGCGGCCCAGCAATGCCAAGTAGAGGCCCGGGTCTCCAGGGCCGCCGCGGTAGCGGGCAAGCTCCCCAGGTACGAAAAGGCGAAAGCCAGCGCTGGGACTCCACCAGCTCATCAGCCGTGCTGCCATCACAGCCACCGCCACTGCGGCCAGGCCTAGCAAGAGCCCACGGCCGGGGAGCAGCAGCATTTGGACAGCCGCACACTCTTCGCTCTTCTGAAGTTGCCGCCTCTCCGCCCGCAACTAAGATGGCGGAGATGCGGACCGCGACGTCACCGGCGCTACGCTCTCTCTCCCTTGTCCACCTGTCACTGAGGGGACAATGGAGGACTGAATGGAAAAAGTCCAGCGAAAGCTCACTTCCGGGCTCCGACTGTTTCTCGTGCTCTTTCAGCACATATAGTGAATGTGGAGGGATATCGAGGAAACGAACAGCGAAAGGCCTCTTTAGCTTGCAGGTTGTCCACCCCCAACAAAGATGGTGGCAAAGGGGGCTGCGGGATGGCGCAGACAATATGACAGCAGTGCCCTATCAGGACTGCGGGTTCCCTCCACCCTTTGCTGAAGCTGTCCTCGCTTGTCCTCTCACGACAGCTAGTAAAGTCTGCTTGACGGCGCCTTAGCGACAGCAGTCCTCACTTGACGGCGAGGAAGCCGGAAGCCGCGCGGCTGCCGCCGTCGTCTCCTCCCCGTCCCCGCCCGCCGGGCGCCGTCGGAGGTTGACAGGTCCAGGCGGGGAGGCGGCGGCGGCGGCAGAGCCGGGCGCCCAAGACGGACACCCCATGGGGAACGCTCCAAGTCACAGCAGTGAAGAGGAAGCAGCAGCCCCTGGGGGCGAGGGCTGGGGC